CCCCCCCCCCCCCAAATCAACATAAAAGCCTTGAACACAGACAAAACATTCAACCCAGATAGAGGCTCACAATTCCTAATGAGGCCCCAGTATAGATTAAGGCCCCCACTACATATAAGGCACCCTAACCCAGATAAAGGCCCTCTTACCCCAGTTTGAGGTGATCTCAAGCAATTTGAGGCCCACAACACAGATTAAACATCGCTGATTAGGATAAAGTAGACCATCTCAAGAAAGACGCCCTCCCAAGAAAGCGGACGCACTGTGTCCAATTAAGTCATTTCTAATAAATCCCAACCCACAACCCAGATTAATTGACTGTGATCTGAGATAACGTTTCTGACTCCGGATTAAGACCATCCAATCAAACATTTATGTCTTTTCAACTGATTTGACAAAACGTATTTAAAATGTGTTTATGAATGCAGCATAAAATATCAAACAACTCAGTAGAAAGGAGAGAATGGCTGCAATGTCTGAGTTGGAATCAGTCCTATTATTTTTTTCTTCTTCTAAAATTGACTGTTTCCAAATGTGATGTTAAGTTCAACTGTGTGATTTTTTTTAAATATTTCAAATGTGTTAAATCAAGGATTAGGAACAGGATTTTATTGGCTGATTTTATTATTTTATTACGTTCAGGACAAATATATTTTTTTAGCCGTGGTTCCGTTACGAGCTCTGGCAAAATTAAAAAGGGGGTTACGAGGAGGTTGTAGGGGTTGGCGGTGGGGGGTCAGTGTTTAAAGGAATGCGTTTATTATTGTCACCCGTCTTATTTACTAGACAATAGAAATGCATGTACCAGCAGCATACCAAAGGGTTGGGCAACAACGCTGGTAGAAGAATAGGGCAACATAGCTGGTAGAAGAATGGGACAACATAGCTAGTAAAATTTGTGGCAACATAATAATAATAATTAGTGGTCTATTATAGCGCGGTACCCCAACCTAGGGCTGGGCTCACCGTGCTGTACATAAAAATATTATCAAAAGAGACATAATCATGACATTAAAATAAAATACAATTATGAAATAAAGAACAGCATGAACCCCAGGACTTTAACAAGGCAAAACATGGACGGCAGCCAACAAGATCATGTATCAGTCAGAGGAGGGGAATCAGTCAGGGTAGAAGAATGGGCCAACATAGCTGGTAGAAGAATGGGCCAACATAGCTGGTACAAGAATGGGCCAACATAGCTGGTAGAATTATGTTAAAATCACTTCCTTTCTACTTCTCTTTACTTTGTTTTTGTCTGGTTTTAGCGCCCTCTCATATATTTTTTCTGTTTTAGGTAGGATATGTATATTGATATTTTGTAAATTTGATTTATACTTATTTAAATGTGTTGTGTTTGTTTGTACTGATGAAGGCATGTGCCGAAACGTTTAATTGTGTATAATGTATAATTATTATTAAAGCTAACTCATATTGTTCTATTGACACAATTTGTTCGTGTCTTATTAATCTATTTTAAAGCTTTATCGCAGTCCAACACGTTTTATAATTAGCTGGTAGAAGAATGGGCCAACATAGCTGGTAGAAGAATCGGCCAACATAGCTGGTAAATGAATGGGGCAACATAGCTGGTAAATGAATGGGGCAACATAGCTGGTAGAAGAATGTGGCATTATCGCCTGTTAAAGGAGTAGGATAACAATTCGTCTAATAATTTAATTTTCAAAAATTAAAAAAGTACAAATTTTATTATTTTGTTTCTTTCTTATTTATTTAATTTTGTTACATTGGGAGCTCTGAGCAGCGAGAAATTCAACAGCTCCGCTCCAACTTCTGGCAAAAAGGCTCTGTTGCAGAGTTCTAGCAGGGCTCTAATTAAAATCCAGAAAATATTTCCTTAAAGTACTTTCGCTACTGACTGACCAGGCTGAAAAGTTGTAAGTTGTAGCTACCTGCTAACTACTAACAAATGTGTATCCTTATACGTAGCTGGTAGAAGACTAGGGTAACCCAACTATAGATGTTTAATAGTAGCTATAGCCACACAGTGGCATAACACAATCCACACCTTCACGTGTGCCGCCAAGAGGCATTGCCCCGCCCCTCCCGGGTGACTTGCTGTTGAACCCGCTACTAACACACAGTATTCTCTCGGCCGTAACCACAGCCACCAAATTCGAGCCGATTGATCGAGTTTTCTTGTTATATTCACAACTGTCGCCAAGGACTCGCGCTATCAACAGAAACGGACTCTTGAAGTAGTTGAGACCAAGCCTATAGAGCCCACAATTCACCCCAGCCTTCAGCTGTACCAGACGTGTGTTCTGTGAGTAGCCGTACTTTGACAAATCAAACACTTTTTTTTTTTTAATTTCTGAACTGACTGTGTACATTTATAACTAGGTATACTGTTAATGTGACAAATTAATTTAAACAATAATTTTGTCATTGAAAACATAACACAAACATAATGCAAACCATTTGGTTTTGATAAACCTTATTTCAATCGTCATATATTGTTATAATTAATTGGCTATTCCTTTTTAATCGCAACTGAAAAGTGTCTATTAATATTTTTACTAAGTTGCTGTATAGTGATTTAGCAAACTGCTGCTAGAGAAATCATTAAGACCACACATAAAATTAGATGAAATATAAATCGTTTATTCACTAACACTGACAGTAGTAAAACACTCTAGTCTAAGCCATTAATACACGCACCAGTTAGATCACGCCAGCAATGATATCATACCCACGTCTGCCACGAGTGCCATACTAACAGATGTTTAAGTATTAGTTAGACCGCTTTCACTTTCTGATTTATTATTTATTATCCGAATGTTGCATTATCATAATTTATCTTGTATTCTTCTGAAGAATTAATTGTGTATTCTATTTAACATGTAGGCCTACAGCCCATGTTAACATCTTAGACACACAGAATATGGCAAGGACAGCCCAATCGAACATAATACATATGACATAAACAACCCATTTACTATCATGCAACAGTCTGAAACCCTAACATTCTTGTGGAAAATGACCTATTAGTGCCCTGTACAATTATTTATTATCCGAATGTTGCATTATCATAATTTATCTTGTATTCTTCTGAAGAATTAATTGTGTATTCTATTTAACATGTAGGCCTACAGCCCATGTTAACATCTTAGACACACAGAATATGGCAAGGACAGCCCAATCGAACATAATACATATGACATAAACAACCCATTTACTATCATGCAACAGTCTGAAACCCTAACATTCTTGTGGAAAATGACCTATTAGTGCCCTGTATAATTAACACATTATTAATATGTCTGCGGAGAGCAGAAAATAAGCCCTCGAAGTTTTGACAGGAGAGTGCTGAACATTCAGATTCAATGCAGAATGCCTAAAGTCACCTGCCTTAAGCTTTAAAGGTAGCGGGTGTTATTATAAAAAAAAAAAAAAAAAAAAAAAAAAAAAAAAAAAACTTTTTGACAACTGGTGATTCACAGTCTTAAATATTTATCTAAGAATAGTCTATTACATTGTTTCAGTAACGTCCAAATATTAATCACAAGCCATCAAAATGGGAGTCAAGGATGGATTCATGGGAGCTAACATTGCCACCAAAATTGCTTTCTTTGTTACATTTTTGGCTAATGTGGTGAAGTAAGGAACACTTTTTGACTTTAAACAGACTTTAATGAATGAAACATTTGCTTTACATTTATTAATACATTCTTTAAGAAACCTTTGTTCATTCTTGTGTGTTACCAAAGTAACAGGAAATACTCGTAAATCGGTAAAACTTTTCCAACTAGTACAGTAAGACGTAGTCTTTCTGAATGTCTGTGAGCAGAAGCCTCCATGAGACTGTACGCACAATTTGTTTCATTAATACGTAATAGTAATGAAACTTTTATTATTAATATTGTTATTATTTATTATTCTTAATCAATGATTTTAAAGAAAATTTTAGGAAATCTACTAATGCATTCTTTACGACATCAGACTTTTTGTAGTTTTGTGAAAATGGGTGTTTTACATGTTCAACTTTCTTTTTTAATGACATGTAGTTGGATTGCATTCTGTACGACGTCTTGGACCGTATATGAGCCAGCGACGGGAAATTATCAATGGACCGGCTTGTGGCGGGCTTGTAGCGGAGCCTCAGGAAGTGCCTCATGCACCGGTGGCATCGGACAATTAGACGGTAGTTCAGACGGTACGTTTATCTGTTCTTTTATTTTAAACTAAATCTCTTTTAAAAGTGATATTCATTTTCTATTCTGTGATCATTCAAGAGCTTAATTTTTTTTATTTTTTATTCATTTAAAACAGCTGGCTTAAGCTGTAATTTGAAGTGTGTCCCAATTATATGATAGAGGAGCATAGATGTTTAATTTATGATATCCAATCTTCCAGTTTTCTCAGTTTATATTCAAATCTAATAATCTTGAATACATATTAAATTGTAATCTTTGACCCAATGATTACATTTGTGAGTTTGGTAAATGGCTAGAGAATGTCCCGAGATGACCGCCAACTTGGTTGACAAAACCAGTTAATTCTATCACTAATGTATCCCTAAATCGATCCCTCAACCTAACCTAAACCCTAATTCACTGTAACTATAATAAACACGCAAATGACGTCACGGGATGCTCTCTAGACATTAGCCGCGAGGTTTACTAGGATATGTCTAATATTTACGTTATTTTTTCCTATATATTATAGGGGGAAAAAAAATCTTGTTCACTTAATCTACATTTACAGATTAATGATTGAAAAACTAGACTTTTTACTTTGAAATTTCAAGTTATATAATGTTTAAGGAAGTGTCTACACGTCCGGCGCGCTGGACAAATAGTGTGGGAAATATGCGTCCGGCGAGCATGTCATATGACCGCCGGACAACTAGTAGGTGTTATTATTCCGAAGGAAGAATCTATCCAGAAGATCTTGTGAGGTCATGTGGTAGAGTGCCCGCTTGACGATATTATATTTGTGGATCGATTTCCCGCATAGGAACCCTTTTTTCTCCCCATTTTAATTAAAAATATTTTATATTATTATATTTATTTTATCATGTTCATCAGCAACAGTAGTTTTATGAGAAGTTTTTAAATATTTTGTAGCAATTTAAAATGTTTACTTTACAATTTAAAATCTTTTACTTTTATTGGTTGCCTACTCCATACTGAATACTGGCCCCTAATTATATTATGATTATGGGTTACTGGTACACAAACTCAAATAACAAATTAAACAAAAATGTTAACAAACCATTTTCACTTCAGTTTTTTTCTATTATTTGCATTCAAGATACTCAGTAAATTACTTGGTAGAGAAATAGATTTTAAAATTAACAATAGTTTTGAATCATTCGCGGCACCTGACAAGGCTGATGGACAAAATATCTCTTGCCACTTTGTTACGGTGGTCGTGTTACTTGGTCGCCGGACGAATAGTGCGGGAGATATGCATCCGGCGCGCCGGACGTATAGACACTGCCATTTTTTATGTTTAAATGTGGGGGTTTTTTTGGACACTAGATGCAGCAATTGTATATAAAATTAAGAAAAAATGTTTCCTATAATTAAGATAAAACCAATTAGACAATGAAAAACTTTATAACATTAGCATCTCATATTTTATTTTTTATCTTAAATTGAAAATAATAATCAAAATGTAACTGTCAAATCATTATATATTTGTTTAAATAGATGACGTTGATGCAGTCCAAGCCTTCGCCATCTTTGGTTTCATCGCCTTGAATGTAGGATTGCTCCTGATTGTTCTCTACATGTTCTGGGGAAGCTGCAAAGGAAATGCTGAGACTGGAATAGCTTCTGCTATCATCCTCTTCATCTCGGGTAATTTTTCTTTTAATGATTGATCACATGGTTTTATTTCGGTTATTAGTTTGGTTTCGTGTCACTTTGTGTGTGTCATATCGTTCAATACATGTTTACCCACTTATGCGGAATTGATTTTCTTCAACATAAGCACAAATGTATATGTCTACAGACAAACCATATCTTTCCACTTTTTATTACCTTACATCATTAAACACCCCAAGTAATCTATATTTCCAATAAAAGGAGCCGCTTGGTTAAATCAACTATTAGTCAGATAAGTCGATCCAAATTTCAAAAGTGACTTGAGTCGTGGGCAATTTGACAACCAGATCATCATAGGCTAATGTGTATAAATTATGTATTTTATTTTAAAGAAATTAAATTCAGTTCTACAATTCTATTAAAATTCTCTCAAAGGTCAAATTTTACATTTTACAAGTTCACCTCTTACAATTAATTTTTTCAGGTGAAACTAGAAACAGAGGCATGCAGGTGCCCAAAACAAATCAGCCGAAGATAGTTGGACTAAATTCTCATATAATTATTTATTCTATCTCACTAATAACAATAATTTTAATCAATTATATAATTTCTAAAGATTTTAAACCTCTCTCCTGACTAAATAAAGAGCATTCTTTTTTTATTTGGATGACCTATATATTTAATAGTCACATATAAGTGTGTCAATACAATTTTTTTTTGTTAGGTCTATATTTTTAAAGATAATCCTTCATAGGGACATCGTTCAATATGTATTCTTGATGATTAAAAATAATTCTTAAATTATGCCTATTTTATCTACAGCTGGCACCTGGCTCATCGCAGTTGCTGTCTTTGGTGCCAGGTTTGATGATTTTGCAAACACCAGATTCGGCTACTCCTATGCCCTGGCCGTCTGCGCCCTCATCTTGGCTCTGATCAGTGGCATCATCATGATCATTGGTGGCAGGGGCAACAGTTCTGTCAGCTCAAAGTAAACTTCAAGAAGTTTCAAGAAAATTTCTACACTAAAAGCATTACATTTTCAACTATACTTAAGACTATGTGGACATTGATCAACACAAAAAAAGACATTCTGATTTACCAAAAAAAAGATTTCTCAATTTTAAAAAAAAAATGAATCAATAAATAGTATTTTTAAAATTGCACCATCACTTTCAAAGTCAACACATAAATCATAAGAATTGCTCTTTAAAACTTTTTAAACCAAATATATGATTAGTTTTATATATCATGCTGTAATAGGGTTTTATACTATAAAAATAATTCTTATTAGTTTTTTTTATGAAACTGTGATAGGAATTCTTATCAGAATTTATCATTCAGTTGAGCTTTGGAAGGTATATTCACTTGATCTGTCCATTATTCCGTCCATATTTTATGTAACTCCATCACAAACCATTAATATTGTAGCAAGTTGAATGAAAGTTGAAACTGCGATCATCTATAAATAAATCACCCTTGCCATTGGAAGATATATAGTATTTGCAGCAAAAGTTCCTTGGAAATAACTTTGTAACCAGCCATATCTCCTCAAATTATCTGAAAGAAAAGTATTTGTATGTGTTTTAATAGACTATAAATAAACAAAATATTACTCTGCATTAGAATATGAGAAATAACCCACCAGGTTTGGGGGGCGGGGCCATGTGTTATTCAATAAAGCAACTTGCAACCTAAGTATGTATGATTATTTGATGCTTCAGGGGCTTCCCTTCATTAGATACCATACAGTACATGACTAACAAAATACTTGCTTGTATTTTTGCATGAATTATGTATGCATAACATCGTGAATATCCCCAGGACACTGAGAGACTGTTTGATTGGGAATAAATGTTTTTTTTTTATAACATTTCAAATGATGTTTTGTTATTTTTGTGTCAAAATGTTTAACATTGCCAAAATGTTAAAAAAAACATGCATAATTATGGAAACATTATATCTAAATAACAAAAAAAAATGAAAAAGCTATTATGCTTTTTTAAAAATTATCTTAAATAAGGTTAGATTTGATTTGGTGGAAATATTGTCTTACGATGATCAAACGCCTTCGTATCTTTATTTCATAGACGCAATGAAATAAACTAACATAATGTAGAGAGTTGAACATAGAATTAAAGGAAGAAATTGAATGTACCGGTACATCAAGAAATTGCTCTAACAAATTTTAGAGGCAATTATCCATTTTCTTGGAGTTTCATTAGCAAATGCAATTACAGATGGATTTTACCTCAGTTGAAAAAGAGCAGGTATGGTTAATTTTAATTTTTGCACGCTTTCATACTTTTGACAACATGAAATTATGCACATTTACATAATTACCCTTCATACCAGTCTAATTCAGTGGTTCTCAAAGTGGGTGTGGGCACAAGTCCCAAACCAAAACAGCGGAGTGGGTGGTTGTTTGATGTCTGACAGGTTTAAATTCAGTAAAAATCTAAAGGAATCTGGTCTAGAGAACTATAGCATGAGAACCATAGCGTGAGGACTATAGCATGATAACTGTAGCATGATGACTATAGCTCGAGGCCTATATATACAGTTTGAGGACTATAGCATGACAACTATAGCATGATGACTATTGCATGAGGACTGTATTATAAATTATAGCTTCTTTTTTTAATTTTTTATTTATTGAAATTAATACTAATACAATCATTCAATGAACACTTTGAATAAATCTAACAAGTATTCGAAGTATGTCAATCATACCGGACTAACAATAAACTTATTTTTCATAAAGAGCAATAATCACGTTGGATGAGAAAGTTGAACAGCAACGATGATTACCGGGTAATTATAATCAGTCCCAGTCCAACAGTTGCTGGCGCCCCGGGCAAGCTTATCTTAGGCGCCCCTCTTAAATATATTTATAAATATTTTTGCAAGGAAAAAAACTATGGGTTAGGTAATGAGTTGATTAACTAGGTTGTGTTTTACAATGAAACAATTAATAATATTATTGTGTTTCTTACCTTGTATTTGGACATTATGGACAATGAACCTACCAACGAAATTTTTTTTCCTAGCCTTTAGATCAGCAAATCGTTTTGGTGCACATTCTATAGTTATATTCTTTGCAATATCATTTTCTATTTAAAAAAATACCAAAGAATTCATTCTTTCTTTAGACATGGGTGATCGTAAATATGTTTTTTTTAAAAAAGCTTTGGTTTACTCTCGCCAGCGACTACATCATGAGGAAATAATTTTTTGGCTATATCTAGTTCAGTCAACAGATCACATCAAATCATATCGCAATTGTCTCGATAATTTGACTTACTCTCCAAACCTTGACATGCTACTTTGAGCTTATCTTTTCTGGCAGATTTATTAGTAAAAGTACAGTAGATAGTTCCACAAAGACGTCCTGAAGTTTTGCTGACAACGTTTACCAGACATTTATCATCACTAAAAAACAATAATCTTCTATTTGTGATACCGGTACAAGTGTTTCTTCTCCATGTTGCACTGCAAGATCAGACGCAGACATTTCTGACAGTTCATAAAGAGTGTCTCGAATGTACGTAATATAATATTTCATGGCTTTGGCACATTCAATTGTGCACTCCCACCTAGTCTGACATAAAAGGTTTTACAGTGAGGAATTTGAGTTTTTTTTTTTCAATATTTGCCACCGTTAAAGATAGGCAGGGAAGAAAACAATAAATGCGCTGGACAATACAAAAAGGAAGTGAATTCCAAACAACTTATTGCACTGTCACCAACCATGATGTTTAGGCTACGACATCCACAGGGCTTATAAAAGACCCGTGGATGTTCCGTCATAATCTGTGCCTGCATTGCTTTATTTTCCCCCTTCATATTGGAACCATTGTCCTGGCCCTGGCTCTGCGGTTGAGTAATACTAGTTTGATCTATTAAAAAAAAAAAACATCATTTGCACAAACATAAGATTTATGTAGGATGGCATTCAAACATATTGCAATAAAAATTAGTTTTCTCCCATGTCGCCCCACATGCAATGCGTTTTCCTATTTTTGGAAGATCGTTGATAGCACCCCGGGCAACTGCCCTAGTTGCCGGTACCTTGAGCAGGCCCTGATTATAATAGTAGTCCCAACATAAGTATCCAAAGGGCAAATAAAATAATCCTTTAAACAGAAGTTATGTTGTGAGTTTTAGCTTATATTTCTGAAATGTTTGCCAATCTCTGATATAAGACTTAACTACGTGGCAGGACATGGACTGTAATGATATAGCTGTTGTATTATTCAAGCGAACTCACGGTGTCTCGTTAAGACTTTAACTCGATCACTATAAAGGATAATCGTCCGTTGGATACCGGTGAAATTGAAGCTTAGACGTTTTCAGCAGGTGAAACTAGAACGTTATATACTAGAACTGTTAATTGCAAACGCACTAACACGTGGATCTATAATAGACATGGCGCGCGGCCGTATGTTTCAATTACTTATTCATTTTCCTTACAAAGTGGTCAGATAGACCGGGGATGTGACCAGACAGACCGGGGAATGTGACTAGATAGACTGGGGATGTGAACAGATAGACCAGGGATGTGGCCAGATAGACCTGTGATGTGTCCAGATAGACCGGTGATGTGTCCAGATAGACCGGTGATGTGGCCAGATAGACCGGTGATGTGGTCAGATAGACCTGTGATGTGGTCAGATAGACCAGGGATGTGGCCAGATAGACCGGTGATATGGCCAGATAGACCGGTGATGTGACCAGATAGACCGGTGATGTGGCCAGATAGACCGGTGATATGGCCAGATAGACCGGTGATGTGGCCAGATAGACCGGTGATATGGCCAGATAGACCGGTGATGTGGCCAGATAGACCGGTGATGTGGCCAGATAGACCGGTGATGTGGCCAGATAGACCGGTGATGTGGCCAGATAGACCGGTGATGTGGCCAGATAGACCGGTGATGTGGCCAGATAGACCGGTGATGTGGCCAGATAGACCGGTGATGTGGCCAGATAGACCGGTGATGTGGCCAGATAGACCGGTGATGTGGCCAGATAGACCGGTGATATGGCCAGAAAGACCGGTGATGTGGCCAGATAGACCGGTGATATGGCCAGATAGACCGGTGATGTGGCCAGATAGACCGGTGATGTGGCCAGATAGACCGGTGATGTGGCCAGATAGACCGGTGATATGGCCAGAAATACCGGTGATGTGGCCAGATAGACCGGTGATGTGGCCAGATAGACCGGTGATGTGGCCAGATAGACCGGTGATGTGGCCAGATAGACCGGTGATGTGGCCAGATAGACCGGGGATGTGGCCAGATAGACGAATGAATCTACTAAGAACTAATGTTGATTGCTACAGTGTTTCTTTCAGACATTTTTCCCCCGGGCGGGGAGCATTTCAGATTTATTTTCGGGGTGGGAGGGAGGCAGTGCCAGTTGTCAGTGGTCAGATTGGTAGCTCAGGAGTGGCAGATGAGAGAGACATGCCAGACTGGCAGGAGGGGCCAATATGGGTTTTGATGGTATATAATGGTTGAAATTAATGGGTTTCAGAATTGACGGCGTGGCGCAAAAATGAATCTTGTACCCTGATGCAGAACATTCTAGATACGCCCCTGCTAGTGGAGTCGAAATAGGGCGGATGAGGTGTTGCAACCAGGTGTCACTTTTTCTTTATATGCAGGGGTGGCATTTTCGAACAACCGCACAGCTTGTTTATTGAAAAGTAGGGTGGCAAAAGTATTTGCCCACCGATGGCGGCATTAATAGTAGCTACACCACTAGGCAGCGTCTATCGATATCAAAATCGGCAATCATTTTCATTGGGAAGTAGAGCGGAAATCGAGGGAAGGACATTTGTAAGGTTTTGTGGGAGGACTTGTTGCGTCCAGTGGCATACTTAAAATGAATTCACTCCGTTTGTAGCATGCCCCGGGGTAATCATTTGGCACAAGAGTATAATCAACCGCATACTGTAACATTAATCAGCGTGAGGGGAGGGGGTGCAGAAATTTAGGGGGCTAAAGTCAGTCGGGAAAACTCAATATGCAGGGTGCATTTTGGCGCATACTTGAATTTGTTGTTTCTTTCAGACAATTTTGACATTGCTTATCAAACTTTCGGTTGAAAGGCGCCAAAAATAGCCATAATAATGATCAAAGACATCTTAAATTCCGCACCAGCGGGCGTAAACTATATTCCCGCTAGTTGTGTCACCCTTAAAGGTACGCTTTCGCCCCCTTATTCTCGCCCCTCAAATGTTTATGCATGTAGTGGCCAAGAAATGTTTTGAATAAATTCAAGATACAAGGATGCATTTTATCACATATCTGAATCTAGTTTTTGCAACATTCTACACTTAATTGGAGACTGACGGAAGAGATCCTAGTTAAAAGATGTAGGTGTCTCTTAACCTTAGACCCGTCATGTGCGCCCAGCAACCCCCACGACTGCAGGGTGCCTCGGATATTTAAAGTTTTTTAAAGATGAGTATATTTTCTTAATTATCATCTTTCAATGCAGTGTTGTTTTTTTGTTTGTTTTTTTTTTTTTTTTTTTTGGGGGAGGGGGGGGGGGGGGGGTTATGAGTGGGCAAAACGGAAAAGTGCTTGGCCTGCTGGTGTTATGCAAAAAATTTTAAAAAGTGCACATTATTAAAAATAGTAATGTGGCTTTTATTTTTATTACATCATTTTGGGGGATAGCTAATTAATCAATAAATTTATTTTCTTTTTAAAAAAAAAGAATAAAATAAAAAAAATTAAATTAAAAAAAGTGAAAAAAAAACAACAACAAAACCACTGTTAATTCGAAAGGTCTATACATTTTTATGGGTTATGAAAACTGGTCATTTTTATAAATCGTATACGAACGGCATAACTATTTTAAGAAGACATGACTTGTTTACAAAAGACGTTATATATTTATAAATGCAGCGCCTCTCAATCTGTTGGTCACGACCCCTTTGGGGGTGGCTCGGCTCTTTTTCAGGGGTTGCCTAAGACCACCGGAAAACACACAGTTATTAAGTAGCACGGAATATAATTTTATAGTTAGGAGGGTCACCACAACATGGGGAACTGTATTAAAGAGTCGCGGCATTATGAAGGTTGAGAACCATTGGGTTAAATGCACCAGTTACTATGTTTTTTAAAACTGTTTAAACATGAAAATTATGTCATTTTTATTTTTTTTTAAATATATATTAGCTATTTATATTGTTGAACATATTTTGCTCCGGGGGCTGGACTTGGCGTTCCCAGAGTGCGGGGGGGGGGGGGGTTTGCTTTTCCCCAAGGGGGAGGCACCCCGGAGAGAGGGCTCAAAGAAACACTGGCTACAAGTCGTCTCAAAACAATTCAAAATGAGCGGGTCTCATCGGACCTGCCTGATAGAAGAATCACAGGAGATCAATGACGTAAGCGTCACGTGCTGGTCACGGGACTGATACACGCCATGAATGAATGGCCAAACAAAAGGCTGGGAGACAGCACACAAGTTGTGAATTTTCTAATATCAGTTAATGTGTACGTGTTAATAGTGTTATAGTATAGCCTAAAATGGGGACATGAGCCAAACAAAGTATGGGAAAACCTGAAGAAATGAACGCAACAACGAACAGATTTAAATAAAAATAGCACTCGGCTGAAAAGTAGTATACGAAAAATGTAATTATGTTTTTATTGTTGTTTGTTTGATGATGAAGGCTTCCTGCCGACACCAGTGTTTCTTTCAGAACTTTTTACCAAGGGGGGGGGGGGGGGCCTTTTATTTTTTATGGGGGGGCAGTGCTAGTTGTCAGTGGGCCTTGGCCAGAGGCGTAGTTAAGGGGTGGCAGTTGGGGCTACGTCCAGGAGCTTTAGACTAGTGGGGGCACCAAAAATGGGCTCTGATGGTTGAAAATATTTAGTTTAAGATTTAAGGGTGGGGGGCGTAAAAATAAACCAAGTCCCCTGACGACAAACACTCTAGCTACGCCCCTTCCAGTGGCCTAGAAAGGGGGATGGCGAGGTTGTTCACCCAGGTGTCCCTTTTTCTTTAAATGGAGGTGATGTATTTTCGGACAACCGCAGAATTTGTATTTTAAAAGAGAGAGCGGCAAAAATATGTGGCCCCATTGTGACAGTAATAGCAGCTACACCTCCAGGCATTGTATCTCTCGTCACCACAATTATCGATCATTTTCATTGGGGTGTAGGGTAGAAATCGAGGGCGCCGATGAATCTTGCTTTTATTTATTAAATGAAAGCAAGACAAATATCATAATGGTAAACTCAGCCAACCCAAAGCATATCGTGTGGTAGGAAATGCACTGGAAGAAGTGGAGACGGCTGTCAAATACTTAGGCACATCACCATAAACTTAAATGGGGGATCCGAAGCGGATGTCAGGGCTAGAATGGGAAAGGCTGGGTCAGTATTAAAGAAAATGTAGGAGTAAAACGAGCTGACTCTTCAACCCAAAGTCAGAATTTTCAACATAAATGTCAAAACAGTCCAACTCTATGGAGGTGAAACTTGGAGAACAGCAGCGAGCGTTACGCATTAAGAACAGACCTTCATAAACACTTGCCTTAGAATGATCTTGAAGATCAAATGTCCAAACACCATTACTAACAAAGGCTTACTAGATACCCGTATCCTTTTGCTGAAGACCTCGTAAGGAGAAGATAGATGTGGATAGGCTACACTCTTCGTAAACTCCCAGATAACATCACCAGACAATCCCTAACATGAAATCCACAGGAAAAAAGAAAGAGAAGAAGCCTTTAAAATGCACTTATAAACTTTAAACGCACATGACAGAGATGAATGGAAAATTCTTGTAGACGCAGTATGCCCAAGACGGAGTAAAAGGCATACGTAAGTAAGTAAGATAAATATTTCGTGGTGAAGGGGTCTGGGGAGCCTTCATCGCAGAATTTGTATTATTATTTCAAAACCAAGAGTTTCGTTTTAGAGTACAGTTAAATTCAATGTTTCTATTATACTTTTTGGACCAGCGGAAGAAAATTTTTAAGCATATTGGGAGGCATTAGGGTGCCAGAGTCATACATAAACTTAATTCACTTTAATTGTGGCGTTCCCCAGGATAATCATCTGGCACAATAATATATTCAACCCCATACTGATCAGCGTGAGGGAAGGGGTGCAGAAATTGAGGGTGCTGAAACATTCGAGCAAATTCAAAATGCACGAGTGGATTTTGGCGCATACTTGATGGATTTCCTGTTTCTTTCAGACACTTTTGATGTGAAATTTCAAACTTCCGTGTGCCAAGCGCCAAAATAAGCCATAGTAATGATCAAAGAAATCTTTAAGGCCGCAAAGGTGGACATGACCTAAATTCATTCCAGTTTTGGTGCCCTTGAGGATATACATTTCCTAGCTTAATATCGCCTATTAAATATCTTTATTCCCAGAAAATTGTTGATAAATTCAAAATATAAGAATGCATTTTAGCAAATACTTTAATTTAGTTTTGCAGCATTCTTCACTTGGAGAGCAACGGAAGAGATGCTAGCACTTAGTTACAGAAATACCGCGTGAGCCCAGCAACTCCTACGACTGCAGTGGGCCTCTGATATTTTAGAGGGTTAAAGATGTGAAGTAGATATTCTCTCACTTATCATATTTTAATGCAAAGTGGGGTAGAACAAAACCAAAAATTGGCAAAAAGTTGCCTCGAAAAGTCGAGCGACGGCTCTGTTTGACCTGCTTGTACTATGCAAATATTTATTTATGTTACTAAATAGTAATATGGCTTTCATTTTTTTTATTGAAACCTTCTTGGGGCTTAACTGCATAGCCAATAATGAATTCTCAGAAAGAAAAAAACAAAGTTTCCATCACAAAAAAGCTCTGCTAACATCATTTTGTGTGTTTTCACAAAGGGAAAAAAACGCATAATCAACTTACGTGTAGTAATAATAACCTTTGCTAAATAATTCCAAGTTTTACCAGAGTCAAATAGAAAAAAAAACTGTTATTTAGAAAGGTCTACACATTTTATGTGTTATTAAAACTGGTAATTCTTATAAATTGTATATGAACGCCATTATTTTGTAAAGAGGACAGAGTTGTTTATAAAATAAAGTATACTTTTCCCAATATTTAGTCCATTGAAACTTTTATTTGGAATTTCAAACTACTATAACTTTTTTTCAGTTTTTCAGATAATTACAAATTTCCACTTAGATAACTTTACAACATTTTATACCCAATCCACAGAATTTATTTTAAATTGACAAATCAGGATTAATATTTTTTTTAAACAAATGCCAACAAAAATGAAATGGCAAGGTAATTGAAATGCTGTTCAAAAAAATCATTAATTTTTTTACCTTCATTCTCATCTAGAAAAAATATCAATTTTTATAAATCCGCACAACTAGATGGGACAGTTTGTTTATTATCCTGATATTAAAAAGACAAAAGCAGTTGGAAATTTAATCAATATAGGCTACTATTTTTTAAACCCTTCTTATTCAGGAAACTTTGTTACAAAATTATCACATTTAAAGAAAAACAATCGCTTTCGATATAATAATTGATGAATTTTGCCCATTTTTGTATGCGACCGTTAAATTATTAATTTTTTAAAAAAAATCTATTTCAATTTTTTGTTAAAGTTTTCATTTTATATTACTCAACAGTTATGGAATCGAGTACATTTATAATTATGCTAATAAAATATCGTTTAAAGCCTCATGCAATCATACAATTTATAATCAACTTAACAATTATCCCTAATTTAAAAGTCAAGCTTTCATAATGGAAGATATTTTGTAAAACACATTGCGTATGTTTAATACTTAGCAAGAACTATTCTTAGAATTTTCTTTTACAATTGGAGGCATCTGACCCCTTAGCTACGCCTCTGGTACTTTACCTAGGATGGCTGGGCTCTCTACTGGGCTGAAGTTCAATAGATTCAAACTCATCTTGCCATCAGATGTCCCCAACTGTAAAACAAGTGGCGGTTCAAACGTGGGTTTGTTGATATTTTATTGATTAAAAGAATGGATTACAGAGTTGAGGTGGTCACCAAAATGAATCTTGTCCCCAGGCGCCAAACAACACTCGACCCAGATCTACGCCTAAGCGCCAGGTCAAGCCCCGCCTTACCCAGACCACGTCCAAGCCCCAGATAAAGGCCGTAAATGAAGACGGTGTTGACGTCTGATCATAATAATCGTTGCACCAGAAATCAAGTCACCCAGTCAATGGGAGACAATGACAAAGTGCAGTATGGGGTCAGGCCTGGTTTTGTTTGGGTCTTCGAATGCAACAGAATAGTGCTTTTTCTTAGAGAGCAGCGTTTCTCAACCTGTGGGTCGCGACCCTTTGGGGGGGGGGGGTCGTACGACCCTTACACAGGGATCGCCTAAGACCTTGGGAAAACACATATGTATGAAGTAGCAACGAAAATAATTTTATGTTTGGGGTCACCACAACACGCGGAACTGTTTTAAAAAAAGGTCGCGGCTTTAAAAAGATTGTGAACCGCTGTTATAGAGCAGCTGAATTCATGTGAGTGCGTAGATTGCGTACAGCCTGGCATTGTTTAGATACAACCAAGTGTTGAACTAAATTCAGTGTTCGGAAATATAATCTCACACACATCAGAAAACTAAATGTACACCTTCACGTCTGCTTCGGGGACATCCCACCAGCTCCCAGCCGAAGTGAGGGGGGGGGGGACTGGGTACCAACCAGCCTTCATTCCGCCACCCTCCCACCTTTCCTCTCAGGCGTAACCACAGCCACCAAATTCGACCAACTGATGTAGTTACTTCTTTTCATTTTTAGGGGAGGGAGGGGGTTGGTCGCCAAAGATACTCGCTGTCAACAGAAACGGACTTTTGAAGTAGCTGGGACCTGGCGGCCTGTAGCCTGTAGCCTGTAGCCTGTAGCATCGACATTTGGCATTAGCCTTCGGCTGTACCAGACGCGCGCATTGTGGGAGTAGGTGCATACGGCTTGAGCTAAAGACTTGTTCCAATAATTTCTCAGGTTGTCACCTTATTTCTTGATGGATAAACGAATTGAATGCAACTTTAATTTGATCTTTCCTTTTTTTAGGAACAAATACAACACCGGGGCTAAATAATGTTGATATTGCTGTTATAAAAGTCACGAATTTTAAAGGTCATGAATTGTAAAAGTCATGAATTGTAAAAGTTGGGAATGTAAAAGTCATGAATTGTAAAAGTTATAAATGATATAAGAGTCATGAATTATAAAAGTCATGAATTGTAAAAGTTATGAGTTTGCCACTAAATATCTGCCTTGTAAATTCACAAGAATTATCTGTAAATTTACCAATCCTACTTTCCATTGGAATCCTTATGGGAGAGAATCCATTCAATTTGAACACGATCACTTTAGTGACACAAGCAATGGAGAACTTATATAACAAAAGACTCGCCTCTAGTATTCAACTTACGAATCTTGATAGGTGGACAATGTATGGCACGTAATGTCACATTTGGTGATGCATTCATCTAGCTAATAGCCTAGACCGCTGGCAGTGTGATGGACAGTTCAATGTAAAAATATAATATGCGTTAGATGCTATCCAGGTTAGCAGCATGCGCATAGTCTACTTGAAAATTAATCCGTATTTTCGTGGACTTTGACAGATCCGACAACATGTCATTTAAAACTCTATATAAAATGTTGAACTATACTGGTGTCATTTGTAAATCCTGAATAGCAAAGATATATAATTTGACCAGAAATGTGTGTGTGGGATATCTATAATGTTCCATGTATCTGAAGGTTGTGGAAATTTCTCAAAAGTTCGCTAATCGCTGTTGCTTTGGCTAGGGGCCTGTGAACTATTTTCTTTTCTGAAATACGGAGTATAAATATGTTTTAATCAAGAAATTCTGGACTAAATAATTCTCTGGATCTACCAGTCTCTTTTTTTACTACAGCCAATTGGCACGTACTTAATATCTTATTTATCTTTTCAATGGCGGACCATTTGCTTACCACAAATAGTATATATTTAGTAAACAAAATAAGTTTGATTTTATCTGGGAACTTTATAATATAACAGCCTGTTTAGAGTTCTGATTGTAAAGTAATTCATGCAGAAAGTAAGCCCTCTTAAGGTTACACCCAAGGCCACTTTTGGGTTGCGCCTAAAGCCCCATTAGGGTTACGCCTAAAGCCCCGGTTACACCTAAGGCCCCCTTAGATTTGCATCTCAAGTCCTCTTAAAATTGCACGATTGTGAGAAGATAAGTGCCGGGATACTAACTAGAGATAGTCATTTCATCGTAAGACAGCTCCTACAAATATCTTACTCATCATTTAGAACATTGTGAAAATTACGATCACTGAGTATAATATCCTTCACAGGAAGAAAATGCACGTTTACCCGAACCTCCATAAGTTGAAATCTCATACTATCTGAAATACTACATGAAATAATAGTTGAAAAACTACCTGGGGCAAAGAAGTTATTTCAAATATACCCCTGCATAAGAAGTTTCAGTTTAATTTTGAGATCACTGCAGTACACAGGCCTTCCATTTGTTGCTTCATCAATTTCATCATCATCATGTCCCTTAGTCCTTGGACTGTTGGGGCGCCAAAGATGACATGAAAACTATCCTTCTCCATTCCTCTCTGTTTTCTGCACTTCGCACAGCATCGCCTAGTTTTAGTCCCGTCCACTCTTTCATATTATCCTTCCATCTTTTCTCTGTCTTCCTCTTCTTCTCCCTCCTCTCGTTGTGCCCTGCATGATTTCTTTGACGAGCCCTTGTTTTCTTGTCACATGCCCATACCATTTCATTGTGCGCTTTTTTACAGTCATGACCAGGAGGTCACCGGGCTTCCCAACGGCTTGACGAATCCTTTTTTTCACTTGTTCGTTAGAGATCTGGTCTCTATAACAGATTCCAAGAATGCTTCTGAAACATCGCATCTCCATCGCCTTTATTTTTCTTTCAAGTTCTGCTTTTAATGTCCAGGACTCAGAGGCACACAAGAAAATGGAGAGGCCTAATGAGCGCATCGATTTAAAGGATGACAAAGTTTGTTTCCTCTCTGACATCGATTCTATGTTAAAGAGATGATAAATGTCATGTTGAATTGACTAATTTTAATAAACGTTGCTCCCTTATTTAGTTTTCCGTGGACTGCTGGGAGCATTCATTGCTTTTTATGTGATCATTTTATTTAACACTGAATGATGTTGTTCGTTTATTGTCTGGACTTGGCTTCATTTCTTCCCCCACCTCTAAACAGTGACGTCTTTCTTCAAATACCTGTTCCTAGGTCTCCTGTATGTTCTCTATGCTCTCTCATAAATATGATCCTCACATAAATTGAAAATGCAATGAAAAAAATCATAAGCTTATATAAGGGTATTTATTCCCATTTAAAAAATTAAAATAACATCAAGTTTCTAGCGTAATCTTTTGAGCTATACAATTTTAGAGTGTGGGATATTTTGTACGCTAAAGTCTTTGCCTCCTCATTCTGTGAGCCAAGTGCTGAGTGTACAGCAATGCCAAAACTGCTATTAGTTTTTCGTTTATTATCCACGTTGGATGTATCTTGTGATCCACCGTGTGTGTCATAAAATAATAAGTTCATTGAGCACTACGGAAATATTCCATTGGTTTGCGGCCTTTTAAAAAAAAAAACGTGTTTAAAGAAAAGACAAAACTATTAAAAACATGTTTTTCACAGACGCTTTGCGTCAGGTCATTGGTACAAGTTGTGTGCTTCTCTGCATGCAAGTGTAACCATCATACAATGCTGATTTATATGCATTCAAGTGTAACCTTCATGCAATGCTGATTTCTATGCATGAAAGTGTAACCTACAATCAAGGATGATTTCTGCATGAAAGTGTAACCTACATTCAAGGCTGATTTATATGCATGCAAGTGTAACCTTCATTCAAGGCTGATTTCTGCATGAAAGTGTAACCTTCAATCAAGGATGATTTCTGCATGCAAGTGTAACCATCATTCATGGGTGATTTCTGCATGCAATTGTAACCATTACTCAATGCTGATTTATATGCATACAAGTGTAACATTTATTCAATGCTGATTTCTATGCATGCAAGTGTAACCTACATTCAAGGAAGATTTCTGAATGCTAGTGTAACCTTCATTCAATGCTTAATCTTCTTTCAATCACTGTTTTATTTAATTCTTTCCAATCGATAACTATAGCCATGAACCTCAAAAATGAATGCCACATAAAGCATGACATGGGGGATTTGACATTAAGCATGACATGTGGCTGGACATGAGTCATGACATGCGGGCTTTGAATTTGTTGATTCATGTTTTTAATCATTTCTCTTCCTGTCTAATGGAAGCTTTTTGCAGTTCAATGTTTTGTTCCGTTTTATTTTATAAATGTTTTCCGAAAATTGTGATTTTTTTGTGATTTTCTATTTACTTGACATAACAAATGACATATCTTCAAGCGCTGGAACTTTAGGACAAACGCAGTGGCTGACGTCAGTTTCACTTCAATAAATAGATCGATGCTTTGTATTGTCTAATCTTTCTTTAATGTAAGTCTATTTCTTTGTCTGTTTCAGCGACGACCAAGTAGGCTATTGATTAAAGCAAGGATTAAGTAGACAAGACAACACAATGGGAGTCAAGGATGGATTCATGGGAGCTAACATTGCCACCAAAATTGCTTTCTTTATAACATTTTTGGCCAATGTGCTCAAGTAAGAAACGTTCATTTCAGCTTGAACCAATGAACAAAATGATAGGTTTCTTGAAATCTAAATCTTTTATTCCCTTTCACCTTTTTAGATTCAAAGAGAAACATTTGTTTAACTCGATCTTCTCTACATATAGTAAAAAATAACAGCTTAAATAGGAGAGGGGGGGGGGGGGGAGTTATGAAACAAGAATAAAAAAAATAACTCATTATAAGAATTTAAAGTATGACTAACTATTTCTTTTTGTCTTTAACATTGATGACTTTATAAATATGTAACAAACATAGAACATTGATGACTTTATAAATGTTTAACATGTAACAAACACGGATAACAACTTTTCAATGCGTGAATGCTTAATACCACCATTAATATTAGGACGTTTTAACCACTCCAGTTCATCTTAAAACTTTCCCATGTTAACGTCTGCAGTTGGATTGCATTCTGCACAACATCTTGGACCGTGATTGAATCAGGGGAGGAAAATTGGATAGGTTTGTGGAGGACCTGTGCAACAGGAGGATGCGCGCAGACGGATGGTAGCTCAGATGGTAGGTTGGATATGTTTGTGGAGGACTTGTGCTACAGGAGGATGCGCGCAGATGGATGGTAGCTCAGATGGTAGGTTGGATAGGTTTGTGGAGGACTTGTACTACAGGAGGATGCGCGCAGATGGATGGTAGCTCAGATGGTAGGTTGGATAGGTTTGTGGAGGACTTGTTCAACAGGAGGATGCGCGCAGATGGATGGTAGCTCATATGGTAGGTTGGATAGGTTTGTGGAGGACTTGTGCAACAGGAGGATGCGCGCAGATGGATGGTAGCTCAGATGGTAGGTTGGATAGGTTTGTAAAGGGGGGGGGGTATTTACCATCAGCATTCTCGTAGTTGTAAGGCAGTTCGTCAGATGGTAGGTTTCATAGAAGGAAATCGATATTTCAAAAATTTACAACTATAACATTTTCACATTTTGGAATAAAAATGAAAAAAATATATATTTGACAGATAGATGCAACCTATTTTACTAGCAGTTATTAGTGGCATGACAACTCTTGGTTCAGTAAGGACTCATTGTGACCCTAGTGGATTTAAATAGACCATATTTAGAATTTTCAATAACAGTGTCAATTTTTAAAACTCAAGTAATAGCCATCTATGAAGTAACTGTTCAATCTAGATAGTCAAAGTAATTGTTACATACAAGTTACTGCTAATCATTTTCACCATGGCTACAAATTATAGACAATGAAAAGGTTACATGACTAAATTATCTGGTGTTTTTTTTAAATAGATGAAGTTGATGCAGTCCAAGCCTTCGCCATCTTTGGTTTCATCGCCTTGAATGTAGGATTTCTCCTGATTGTTCTCTACATGTTCTGGGGCAGCTGCAAGGGAAATGCTGAGACTGGGATAGCTTCTGCTATCGTCCACTTCATCTCGGGTAATTATTTATTTTTAATACTTATGCATTTATTTAACAATAGCTAAGCATTATTAAAGATTTAATATCGACCATAGGTTCACAAGATGACCCAGTCTGTTTAAACTGGATATTTTATTTTCTAAAAATGCTTTCATGTTCGTATCTACAGCTGGCACCTGGCTCATCTCTGTTGCTATTTATGGGGCCAAATTTGACGACTTATACCCAAACAGCAGATTCGGCTACTCCTACGCCCTGGCGGTCTGCGCCCTGATCTTGGCCCTGATTAGTGGCATCATGATGATCATTGGTGGCAGAGGCAACAGTTCATAGTAAAACTTCCGGTAGCAATCAACATGAGGGCACTCTTATTTCATCTTTACTCAATTCTCCCTGGACAGTTTTCAAACCTACAGGGGGAAAAAAAACACAGTCAATGCTACCTTTAAAGTAGCATTTCAATTTAAGTTTACTCGTATTTCTTGAGTTTTGTAACATAAACATCCAATGATATACTTTAATTATATGTTTTAAAATAAATGATTTCAATAAAAATGTTCTTGAGATCAAATGTTCTAAGCTATAACTGTTTAATTATTCGATGTTATGTTCACTAACTTCTTTACTGCTGACATAATCCCTGGCTGTCACACCGTCCTATTTGATTGTTTTGATCACATTCCACACATGTTATGGTTGATAACATTCTTCCCATGTTATGGTTGATTGCATGCATGAACGCTTGATGGAAAACAATCTAAATATAGATCATCATTGTCAGAGAATTTTTCAGAGTACAATTTTGCCTGAATGACTGAGTGACTTCATAATTCAATAGAACTGTCAAATTATCTGATATATTTTTCTAACATAAAGTTAATACGAAAGAATGAATTTAACCGACACCCCCTCCCCGAGTTAAAGAGATTTTTATGACGTCAAGCAACCAGTATCCAGGTTGTAGTATCAGCTGCGAGTGGATAACGTTGACAAAAGTCCTACCTGTGTTTGTATCACTATTGGATTATTGTACATCAAATTTTTACGACTCAAATATCAATAAATCATCTATGAGTTAAGAAATGAATCTCTATATACGTGATTTTTTTTTAACCTGAACATCATGTAAGCAAGCATGTAAATATCCCCACTACACTGAAATATTATTTCATTGTAGGCACATTCCCCAGCTTGTAATGCATGTATAATAATATGCATTTAATAAATGTATATTGATATATTCATGTGCATATGTTTTTTTGTTTGTTTGTTTTTTGTTGTTTTTTTGTTGTTGCTGTCCTTGCATTGTGCAAGAACTTTGCCAAAACTGAATTTGTTACAGTGTAATTACAGCGGTATCAATGCAAATCTCCACAGCAAGGCCGGTATACAAACATTGCTCTAAGATATAAGTGTGGAAATTAAAGGGAATCTTGTCTAGTCATACACAGCTAGTGCACATATTGTGGAGTCTTACACTGTTAGTGCATATATTGTCTAGTCATACACCCTTAGTGTATATAATAATAATAATAATTAGTGGTCTTATATAGCGCGGTACCCCAGCCTAGGGCTGGGCTCACCACACTGTACATTAAAATATTAGCAGAAGAGACTTAATCATGACATTCAAATCAAATACATTGATGAACTAAAAAACAGCGAGTAACCAAAACAACAAAACAAATGTATATTCACCCACCCCACCCCAGAACTTTTACATGGCAAACCATGGACGGCAGCCAGCAGGATCGTTTATCGGTCAGAGGAGGGGAGTCAGTCAGGGTAGTATAGTTTAAAGAGACCTGTTTTGAGTGCAGTGTTGAAGGCCTGGGTGGTTGGTATATTGCGGATGTGTAGTGGCAAAGAATTCCATTGTTTGGGGGCGCAGAAAGAGAAAGATCGTTCACCATATGTTTTAGTGTGTGTCTTGGGAACGGACAGAATACGCGTGTCTGCAGAGGAGCGAAGCTGTCCAAGGGGTGAATAGACAGAAAGAAGTTCAGTTAGATAGGAAGGGCAGGAATCCGAGAACAAGTTGTGACAGAGGACACACAACTTGTAGTCCATGCGTTCCTGTATTGCTAGCCAATGAAGGGAATGGAGTAGTGGAGTGACGTGATCACTTTTTTTTTTCTGGCCTTTAGAAACTAGCCTAGCAGCTGAGTTTCGAACTATCTGCAGTTTTTCTATGCAGTGTTTTGGTGAGCCTGGCAGAAGAGAGTTGCAATAGTCAAGACGAGAGAGAACAAGAGCACAGACTAGAGTTTTTGTAGCGCTAACTGTCTAGTCAAACACAGTTAGTGTCAACAATATTCAACAACTTGGGATGAATATTCAAGGGAATTTCAGACAAGGAGACTCACTTTATTATTTAACCTAACATTAGAGAGCGAGAGAGTTATCACGAAGCAGAAGTGTTGACACCCGTGGAACAATCACAGGATACTTTCTGAGGGGAAAATCAAGACACTCAACCTATAGGCACTCTCTAGGCACTCTCTAGGCACTCTCTAGGCACTCTCTACAACCAACCCCTTCAGTATCTTGCATGTGAGGATGACCTAGCACTGTTAGGGAAAAGTAGTAAAAACGTATAAAAAGCCTTTATTGAATTAAAAGAAGTCACTTCAAGCAGGACTGGAAATTAACAATCAAATAACAAAATGCATGTCTATGTTAAGAGAAGAACAGACAGGTAAGATCATTTGAAATTATTAACCGCACTTGGAAAATGTTTATCAACTCAAATATCTAGGAACCTTGATAAATGAATGATTTACTAACAGAATAAAAGAATAAATAGTGTTGGGGGTCCTGGTAGTGTTGGGGGTCCTGGTAGTGTTGGTGGTCCTGGTAGTGTTGGTGGTCCTGGTAGTGTTGGTGGTCCTGGTAGTGTTGGTGGTCCTGGTAGTGTTGGTGGTCCTGGTAGTGTTGGTGGTCCTGGTAGTGTTGGTGGTCCTGGTAGTGATGGGGGTACTGGTAGTGTTGGGGATCGTGGTAGTGTTGGTTGTCCTGGTAGTGTTGGTGGTCCTGGTAGTGTTGGTGGTCCTGGTAGTGTTGGGGGTCCTGGTAGTGTTTTAGGTCCACGTAGCGGTTTTAGGTCCAGGTAGTTTTGGGTCTTTTGCGAAGAGATTCATTTTCAAGTATGTAATCAAATGAAATACACTTTTGTCAGGACGGAACCGACAATACACTAAGGAACCCAACATAAATGGTACCCTAACACTAAAGGGATCGCAAAACGACTTGACCCCCAACATGACTGGGACCCCTAACACGACCAGAACCCCAACATCACTTTATTAACTGTTAACAAATGATGCCAGTGGCGCTAAGTGGGTCTAAAAAGTTTGAGAACTGCTGTACATGCATGCTACTCCTACTAACTCCTAGCATCTACCCACCACAACAGCAATAACTGTTTCCCAAACTGTTCCAGGTCACTGCCCTCATTGTGACACAGCTTTACAGAGCGGTACATTCCAGTCACACTTAGCGTCCCCACCTCAATTCGCGAAATCCCCCCACCACCCCCCACCCTACAAAAAGGAAGGAATCTTAACAAAAATTTAAATAAGTGAATTCTGTAGCAAACGCCTCCATAGTATTACTTGAAAACTTGTGCATTGAGGTTATTATAAGGGATGTGGTACTCTTTCATAAGTTTTGTGGACATTTGCATGGTTGACTGACACCAAAGTAGCGTGGGTGAGGGTTGAGGGGAGTATAAGAATTTAACGCCTTCTGTGTATGATAAACATATATCTTTCCCACAGAAAATATTCTGTGGTTCTCAGCGACATTTTGAAAATGTGGCTCCCGACTTCCAGCTGGACAATCTAGCAACGAGATCTTCGTGTTGCTGGTGGTGCTTAAATGGAGCGATCTAAACAAATAATATGAGCAGCTTTGAGAGTAAAATGATGGCGTACGTTCACATTACTGAGATCTTGGTGTATATTCACATTATTGAGATCTTTGTGTACAGTCACATGACTGAGATCTTGTTGTACATTCACATTACTGTGATCATGGTGTACATTCACATTACTGAGATCATGGTGTACATTCACATTACTGAGATCATGGTGTACATTCACATTACTGAGATCATGGTGTACATTCACATTACTGAGATCATGGTGTACATTCACATTACTGAGATCATGGTGTACATTCACATTACTGAGATCATGGTGTACATTCACATTACTGAGATCATGGTGTACATTCACATTACTGAGATCATGGTGTACATTCACATTACTGAGATCATGGTGTACATTCACATTACTGAGATCATGGTGTACATTCACATTACTGAGATCATGGTGTACATTCACATTACTGAGATCATGGTGTACATTCACATTACTGGGAAATTTGGATATAAAATAAATCACCTGCTAAATTGTGCGATTATTTTGTCCAGCTTCCAAATCAAGATTGACTGTCAAGAAATGAAGGTGCTCAGCTTCCAGGGTTCAACCCATGAGGCACGTGACTCTTGGGGCAAGGCACGTGACTCTTGGGACCAGTGTTCCTACTACAATAGCAAATATATCTGTGTGTTCTCAACCTCTAAGGCCAATATCTCCGTAGGGGTCGTTTGCAAATTACATCACGCAAAAAATGACCTCTTAGAACCCCCCCCCCGACACCCTGTCACAAAGTGTCGCAAATTCTTTACCCCTCTCCCTTCCCCCCCCCCAGTGACACGCAACACCTAAAAATCAAAACATACATACATTTTAATAACTAAACTAAGATTTTATTTTATCCTTCCCATAATGTATTAATAGTAGCATTAGAAGACTGACGCCGAACAACGAAGTCATGCACAAACCGAATGTAAAATGGCCACAACAGTTTTTGCGTCATTTTTCGATATGCGTAGAAGGTCTGCACGACTGAGTTTCATGGTACCTATAATACCTGAGGCAATTTATTAGAAAAACGTGACGTCACAAATTTTTTGACCCCCCCTCCCCCTCTAACATGACATAATTTGCGAACGACCCCGTTATGTCTCAACCTCCAATTCCAATATCTCTGTATGGTCTCATCCTCTAAGGCCAATATATACGTATTGTTCAACCTCTAAGACAAATATATATATATATTATGGTCTCAGCCTCTATATGTGCCATATCTCTATATGGTCTTAACCTCTATATCCCATATCTCTTATGGTCCTAACATCTTTGTCCCATATCTCTATATGGTATCAGCCTCTAAGGACCATATCTCTGTATGGTATTAACCTGAAAGTCCAATATCTCTGAAAGGTCCAATGACACTTGAACTGACCAAGTTTTAACTTTCCCCTTAATGTTACTTTATAGGTATGGGATGGGGTTGGGGGGCTAAATGTAACACTGAAAGAAAAAAACCGTGATATCTAGTGACAAAGCCACGTTCATAGTCACTCAACCGTAACCAGTGACCGAATTCTTGTCATCCTTCCCTGGGTCACGTAGCTGAGGTGAGCTTGAGCGTCTAGGAAGCCCGGGGGGGTGGGTAAGGGGGTGGGGGGAGGGGGCCTCATTTAGAACCTGGTCAAACATGACAAAACGACCTTTTTGGTCACTTCAACCCTCACTTCCTGTGTGGAGTTTAAGGTGTTGGGTAGTCTTGACTGACATCAACATGTCCGGATGGTTAGCCTCGACTGATATCAACGTGTCCGGATGGGTAGCCTTGACTGATATCAACGTTTCCGGATGGGTAGCCTCGACTGATATCAACGTGTCCGGATGGGTAGCCTCGACTGATATCAACGTGTCCGGATGGGTAGCCTCGACTGATATCAACGTGTCCGGATGGGCAGCCTCGACTGATATCAACGTGTCCGGATGGGTAGCCTTGACTGATATCAACGTGTCCGGATGGGTAGCCTCGACTGATATCAACGTGTCCGGATGGGTAGCCTCGACTGATATCAACGTGTCCGGATGGGTAGCCTTGACTGATATCAACGTGTCCGGATGGGCAGCCTCGACTGATATCAATGTGTCCGGATGGGTAGCCTCGACTGATATCAACATGTCCGAATGGGTAGCCTCGACTGATATCAACATGTCCGGATGGGTAGCCTCGACTGATATCAACATGTCCGGATGGGTAGCCCCGACTGATATCAACGTTAGGTCCGGATGGGTAGCCCCGACTGATATCAACGTTAGGTCCCCCGCTAANAAAACCTGAAAACCCCCCCCCCCCCCAAAAAAAACCGCGAAGGAAATTGTCTGAAAGAAGAGTCCCAGAGCCCCAACCCCCTCCACCCCATCCCCGAAGCCTTTCAGCGCACCCATGAGCTATCCAACAGCCCTCTTGGGGATGGTACCAACCACTTTGAGAACAACTTCTATAGAAGTTTTACAAACATTTTGCCCCATTTAAAGCCACCAATCTGTCACATTATGTTTAACTATATAACTAAACATAACACTTACACCTGATGGTGGGACATTTACTTTACACATCTTATAGTGGGACATTTACTTTATACATCTGATAGTGGGACAATTACTTTACACATCTTATAGTGGGACATTTACTTTATACATCTGATAGTGGGACAATTACTTTACACATCTTATAGTGGGACATTTACTTTATACATCTGGTAGTGGGACAATTACTTTATACATCTGATAGTGGGACAATTACTTTACACATCTTATAGTGGGACATTTACTTTATACATCTGATAGTGGGACATTTACTTTATACATCTGATAGTGGGACATTTACTTTATACATCTGATAGTGGGACAATTACTTTACACATCTTATAGTGGGACATTCACTTTATACATCTGATAGTGGGACATTTACTTTATACATCTGATGGTGGGACATTTACTACTTTCATTAAACAGTGGGATATTTACACTTCCAATATTTGGAGGGCAGGTTGGGGTATTTCCCCCACCCCTAAATCTGAAGGTTTCATTTTAATTGGTATGTTCCTTGGCACCTCCGATATAAACAACTTAACAAGCAAACCAAGTTTTGATTCCCCCCCCTCCCCCCCCCTCAGAACCTGAAACGATGTCCCTGCCTGACACATTGAAAATTAATTTGAAAAAATGTTAGGTTGAACCTTGGGCATGACCAAATTTTCTCATTTGTCTCTGAATTGACTTTCACACCAAAGCGTAATCTGTGAATAATTTAGTTAATCTGAAGTCTGTAGTTCACGTCTGAAATACATTTTCCGCTCCATTGTTCACATTTTCGGTTGTCTCTCTTGTGCCTGTCGCCGTAAGGCTACCTACCCCAACAGGGGGACAGCACCTACCCCAACAGGGGGACAGCGCCTACCCAACAAGGGGACAGCCTCTTCCCCCCTCCCCAGCCCTTTCCCTTAGCCTCACTGTGCTGAGCAGTGAGTCTCGCCCTCGTGGACCACGGGTAGCGTGTTGTTGTTGCCCTTGTCCTAAACACAGCTCCACAGGTTGGCAGAGCACTCGACCACACAGACGTCCACCTACAGGTTGAGACCAGTCTTCATTTCCTTCAACATGGGTGTCGCGGATAATTTCGTTGGAGCAAATCTCGCCACAAAGATCGCTTTCTTCCTCATCTTGCTGGCGGATGTGGTCAAGTAAGTAACGTGGAAAAGGAACATCAGATTATAATCCTCTATTTATTGAGCTCACATTCAATGCTTTGGCTTTTAGTCTAAAATAATCAACTTTTTTAATAAGTGATTAAAGATTCGGTAAATTATAATATTTCCTTATAGCAGTGATTCTCAACCTTCCTAATACTGTTAAACTTTAATACAGTTCGTGTTGTGGTGACCCCAACCATAAAATTATGTTCGTTTCTACTTCATAAATAAGTTATTCCCGATGGTCTTAGGCGACCCCTGTGAAGGGTCGTCCGACCCCCCCCCCCCAAGGGTTTGCGACCCTCAGGTTGAGAACCGCCGCCTTAGAGCTTTTAATTGGCCTCGCTTTACAGTTTTGTCGACTAATGCGTTACCACGAGGGCCCTTTCTACCATTGTCGTGTGTTGAGATCAGCATAACAATTGGACAGTATTCTCTGCCGACCATTGATCAGACTCTACCATTGATCAGACTCTACCATTGATCAGACTCTACCATTGATCAGACTCTACCATTGATCAGACTCTACCATTGATCAGACTCTACCATTGATCAGACTCTACCATTGATCAGACTCTACCATTGATCAGACTCTACCATTGATCAGACTCTACCATTGATCAGACTCTACCATTGATCAGACTCTACCATTGATCAGACTCTACCATTGATCAGACTCTACCATTGATCAGACTCTACCATTGATCAGACTCTACCATTGATCAGACTCTACCATTGATCAGACTCTACCATTTCTCAGACTTAACCACTTATTAAACTTTACCATTTATCGGACTTTACCATTTGTCAGGCTTTGGGGAAAGTTTTGCCTTAAAAAGATAATATTGTTAATGTTTCGTTAAAAACAAGACACTTTTTGAAAGTGCTCCCTTGATGGTCGCGTGTGTGATCATGTTCACTAAAATAGTGCATGAGTCTCACCATGTAAACAAGATGGCGCCTGGTGGCTATCACCGGTTTATCACGTCATCGTTGTGGCTGAGCTCATGGAAGGCTTAGTTCTACTCTCTGAGACACACTTCAGATGTCATGTCTTCAAATTGTTGTAATTATAAAATGTCTTAGTAAAAAATCATGTATTTAGGTGCTGAAATTAAATAAGTACAATTTAATTTTTTTAAACACTTCCATTTATTTGGATCTATACAATAATGTGAATCTAATCTTATTTCATTCAAACAGTTGATCTCATTCTTTGCACAAAATTCCCTCTCCTGTGTTTTGACTGACAGAAACTTGACTAGACCTGTGTAAAAACATGACCCTGTTAAATGTTTCCTTTGGTTTATCTAAATAAAATGAGTAAAACAGAGTAGGGTTAAACCTGAAAAAATAAACGCAACAAAACAGCGAACGTGTCGGCAGAAAGCCTTCGTCAGCGAACAACAGAAAAAAAAAATTAAAAATAAAAATAAGAATTAGCACTTATCTGGTAAGTAGTATCTGTGGGCAGCAATAGAAGTGTGGCAGAAGGAAAGAAAAAAACCACTTTCCTTCTGCCACACTTCTATTGCTGCCCACAGATACTACTTACCCGCTAAGTGCTTTTTCTTATTTTTATTTTTATACCGTTGTTTTCTGTTGTTTTGTTCGCTGACGAAGGCTTTCTGCCGACACGTTCGCTGTATTGTTGCGTTTATTTTTTCAGGTTTAACCCTACTCTGTTTTACTCATTTTATTTTGTACTAACCTGATTGCAGTCTCTACCCTTATTACCCCTTTGGTTTATCTAGAAGTTCAACGAAGACGACCAACACTAAAAATTTGTTTTTCTTTTCTCATTAGTTTACCCAGACAACTTTAGTAAACGAACCAAAGAATGATTTTAATTGTCCTAAATTTCCTAGATATTAAAACTGAAGTTCTTTAAGGACTTTAAATAACATATTCAAGTGAGCAAAATGTCTTTCCGTCCTCGCAGTTGGATAGCTTTTTGTACGTCGTCATGGTACGTTGAAAGCAAGGACACAACATGGGTCGGACTGTGGAGACGGTGTACGGTACAAGGATGCCCCATACAGCTAGACGGCAGTCCCGATGGTGAGATTGGTTTTCTAGGGTTGTGGTGTGTGTGTGTGTGGGGGGGGGATGTTATTTGATACCTGTATGTGAGATGTCGCTCTATAATCTTCCGGTATTTTTGTTCTTACATTGAGGTGCGCCATTTTATGCCAACTGGGGATGCTTTTGTATTCACGAAAAGGACGGTGGAGGCCAAAATGTGCCCCCCCCCCCCCCCCCCGGAACCATTACATCAGGTAGATCACTCACAGCTTCACTTAATGGTTCACTAACGGATTCACTTAAATAATAATGTTATGAGACGTGATGTCGATGTGCTCAGGCGTGCTGTCGATGTGCTGTCAATCTGCTCAGGCGTGCTGTCGATATGCTGTCAATCTGCTCAGACGTGCTGTTCAACCTTATTAACCCCGTACGCCGATTTTTTTTTAAGTCTGTGGCCGCACACTTGACATTTCAAAGACACACTTGACATTTCAAAGACACACTTGACATTTCAAAGACACACTTGACATTTCAAAGACACACTTGACATTTCAAAAACACACTTGACATTTCAAAAACACACTTGACATTTCAAAAATACACTCGACATTTCAAAAATACACTCGACATTTCAAAAATACACTCGACATTTCAAAAATACACTTGACATTTCAAAAACACACTTGACATTTCAAAAACACACTTGACATTTCAAAAACACACTTGACATTTCAAAAACACGCTTGACATTTCAAAAACACACTTGGCATTTCAAAAATACACTTGGCATTTCAAAGACACACTTGGCATTTCAAAGACACACTTGACATTTCAAAAACACACTTGACATTTCAAAAACACACTTGGCATTTCAAAAACACACTTGGCATTTCAAAGACACACTTGGCATTTCAAAGACACACTTGGCATTTCAAAGACACACCTGGCATTTCAAAGACACACTTGGCATTTCAAAGACACACTTGGCATTTCAAAGACACACTTGGCATTTCAAAGACACACCTGGCATTTCAAAGACACACTTGGCATTTCAAAGACACACTTGGCATTTCAAAGAACATTCGAAGCAATGCTCATTCTGATAGCACCCTGTTGGTGTGAACAATGTGCTTAAGCTGTTTTGTGTTAAGACGACTTATGTGACCAATGTCTCCAATGAGGAAGCCTGAGAATTAAGATGAAATGGGAGAATGGCATACCATCTTAGTGTGTGTGGTGTGCCTGTGTGAGCGTGCCTATGTGGGCGTGCCTGTGTGTGGGCGTGCCTGTGTGGACGTGTCTGTGTGCGTGAAATGGACCCCTCCGCTTTGCCATTGTCAAAATTACGACCCTGTATAAGCCTTGGTATTAATGAACAAACAAGTATTTTATATTATATGCAGATGTCAGCCTGAAAAATCATGCTTTAGATATGTTTCAAGACAATTTATGCTGTGAACGTAGAATACAAATTTTAATGATAAATATGTCATGACAGGACCGCCATACGGCGCTCATTCATATTTGACACAGCACCACCCCATGGCACCTATTCAAAGTTAAAACTACACCGACCCATGGCACCCATTAAAGTTTTGAAAAATTTAATTTTTACATAATTTGGATCTGCACGTTAACTTGACATGGCTCTAAGTATCGAACAGTGATAGATGATTTAGTTTGGAATATGCAGTCGTGGTTGCTGTGATTGTGTTGGGTGTGTTGCTGTGATTGTCTTGTTGTTTTGCTGTGATTGTGTTGTTGTGTTGCTGTGATTGTGTTGTGTGTGTTGCTGTGATTGTGTTGTGTGTGTTGCTGTGATTGTGTTGTGTGTGTTGCCGTGCTTGGGTTGTTTGTGTTGCTGTTATAGGGTTGTGTGTGTTGCTGTGATAGGGTTGTTTCTGTGATTGGTTTGGGTGTGTCGTAGGAAGCTGAGTTGAGTGTCATTGCGCATCGGTGTGAGGTGAAACAAGATTTGCTTAGGCGTTAAAATAAATGACATGACAGTGAAACGGGCGCCTCGGCTAGACGCAGTATTCAGCAGACATACACAACAGATCCTTTCAATTAAAATATTATAATTTACCCCACAAGTCCAGTGACCGGACAAGATGAGTATATGAAATGTGTGTGAGAAAGAGCTGTGTACATGTGAGAGCTGTGTGCGTGGGAGAGTTGTGTGCGTGGGAGAGTTGTGTGCGTGGGAGAGTTGTGTGCGTGGGAGAGTTGTGTGCGTGGGAGAGTTGTGTGCGTGGGAGAGTTGTGTGAGTGGGAGAGTTGTGTGCGTGGGAGAGATGTGTGCGTGGGAGAGCTGTGTGCGTGGGAGAGCTGTGTGCGTGGGAGAGATGTGTGCATGTGAGAGATGTGTGCATGTGAGAGCTGTGTGCATGTGTTTTGAGATTTGTGAGATGTGTAAATTGTGTGCTTGTGCTGCGAGGTGTGTGAAGTGTGTGTAAGTGAGCTTTGTGCAATGTGTGTACGTTTATGAGGTGTAGGTGCGTGTATGAGCTGAGGAATTAGTCGTTTTCTAAGGAAAAACTAAAAATAATCTCATAAATATTCAAAATAACCCATTTAGCTGTAACTATTGCATAAATATCGTAATGTAAATTAATATAAACACATTTCAACCTCTTTTTTAAACAGACGACATTGATGCAGTCCAAGCCTTCGCCATCTTTGGTTTCATCGCCTTGAATGTAGGATTGCTCCTGATTGTTCTCTACATGTTCTGGGAGGGTTGCAAGGGAAATGCTGAGACTGGAATTGCTTCTGCTATCGTTCTCTACATCTCGGGTAATTTTGTTTTTATATTTTCGATTTCAGCTGTTCTAATCATACATGCCGATATGCACTGTTCTAATCATATATGCCGATATGCACTGTTCTAATCATACATGCCGATATGCACTGTTCTAATCATACATGCCGATATGCACTATTCTAATCATACACTGTGCACTGTTCTAACCATACATGCCGATGTGCACTGTTCTAAAAAAAGGTGCGAATTATTTACTAGGATTTTCATAGAAGTCATGGTGCGCTGGAGTCATGGTGCGCTGGAGTCATGGTGCGCTGGAGTCATGGTGCGCTGGAGTCATGGTGCGCTGGAGTCATGGTGCGCTGGAGTCATGGTGCGCTGGAGTCATGGTGCGCTGGAGTCATGGTGCGCTGGAGTCATGGTGCGCTGGAGTCATGGTGCGCGGGGGGTCATGGTGCGCGAGGGGTCATGGTGCAGGGGGTTCCATGGTGCAGGGGGGGCCATGGTGCACGAGGGGCCATGGTGCACAGAAGGCACAGAAGTTACTGTGAATAACTTATTTAACAACTTTAGAATTAAATTTTGTTCCTTTCTAAACTATTTAGAAAAATCACTATACCATATTAATAATACAAAAGATACTGTTTTTTAATTGGCCATATTTATTTTAAAAATGTTCGTTTTGTAGTTAACGAATTTTTTAACTCCATTTAGCAGAATGGTGCTATATGAAATTAGCTATTTTCAAGAAAGATGTATTTATACTACATAGTTTTTGTCTTACATTTTCACGGACACCAGTTCATTTATTTTTTAAAATTCTACTTCACAGCTAGCACCTGGCTCATCTCAGTGGCTATTTATGGTGCCAAACTAGACGACGTTGGTGGCCGGTTTGGCTACTCTTTTGCTTTGGCTGTCTGCGCTCTTATTTTGGCTCTGTTTGGGGGAATACTTATGACCATTGGAGGAAAGGGCCACTAGAACAGCAAAGGGCCACTAGAACTATCAGGATTTACCTAGAGACAATCTACAATCCACAAAAACTAAAGCTTTAATTTATTTTCCACCAATTATTTCTGAAAATTACAATATATATTTTAAAGATATCTGTTTTAGATTTTGTTGATTTTCTTTTAAATCAATGCTTGTAGAAATGAGAGTGATATGTAACTAGTCTTAATGTAAATAATTTGGTTCAATCCATAGTTCATTTGTTGCTGCTCAAAAATTGTTGTGGGGGGGGGGTGGCGCGGGTTAACCATTGAGACGTTTATACCCTTAATCATATAAATATATATCCCAGTTGATCCCACAAGAAGTTTATACCCTTAATCATATAAATATATCCCAGTTGATCCCACTAGACGTTTAAACCCTTAATCATATAAATATTTCCCAGTTGATCTCACTAGCTATTGTGTCCTTGAGCAGGGACATATTTATCAACATTCATTCAAGTGATAATATACAAACAAGAGCATTGTGTGTGGCCATATCAGTGTCTGTGTCCATAGTATTGTGTGTGGCCATATCAGTGTCTGTGTCCATAGTATTGTGTGTGGCCATATCAGTGTCTGTGTCCATAGTATTGTGTGGTGGCCATAGCATTGTGTGTGGTGGCCATAGCATTGTGTGTGGTGGCCATAGCATTGTGTGTGGTGGCCATAGCATTGTGTGTGGTGGCCATAGCGTTGTGTGTGGCCATAGCAGAGTGTGTGTCCATAGCGGCAAACAGAATATTCGGATGTCTAATGTTCACTTTGAAATAGCTCTTTACCTACGTGTGTACTCTTCTATGCCATAGTTCATTCAACGTATCCTTCGGTACATTAAAAAATATCTACGTTCCTTGTGTCTTTGTTGCATGTATTCATGTATGTTCAATGTCCCACAAGATAATTTGAATGTCAGAACAAAGAACAAAATTTAAATTTACTTTTGCAAGGAATCGGATTTAAAACATGTCTAAAGAGAGTGAACACTGAGCTGAACACATTTTATAGTAGTTCCCAACCTGAGCTCCTCAGAGCCCTAATGTCTCAGCGTTCCCTTCTTAGGGCCGCCGCGGCCGCTCCAGGCGACTCCTAAACACTAAGAACCGGTGGTCCGAGGATCGACCCATGAGACGACCCAATAGAAATTGAGTCTAAATAGGGTACCACCAGTCAAAATGGTTGGGAACCATGGCATTTATTTTATGGAACAACGTGTATGGTCAAAGCAATGGTCAGAGCCATGGTCAGAGCCATGGTCAGGGGGCGAAAGGGGGCACATGACCAGGCCGCCAAAATATAATGTGTATTAATGTATACTTTGAAAGTAAACTCCTAAATCCTAGCTTTGCCCTGGGTGCAGCGTTTGCTGGTTACTAGACGCAATCTCATGGTAAATAATGCTGACCAATATCAGGATTGTGGATTAGGTATGGTTTCTCTTATCCGGGTTTTTGCTGCTCCCAGGAAAACGGGAATAGTTCTCCTCATTCCGGATTCCTGTGATAAAAAAGGAGCCAAAATGATCAATAAATTGATCGTGGGCCCTTAAGAAATAGAAGAAGAAGAAGAAATTAATTTCATTAAAATATATTAGAAACTGAAATAAACTAATTAGGGTTCATTTTTAATAGTTCTTTTCAACAATGTCAAGGTTAGTTGAGAGGTTGGTCACGTGCTATTAGTTGCTTCCTTTTTGGCACGGCTTATCCCAAGCAATGGATGACTTGCTAATGTGCTTGTTAACCAAATGTTGATTAGAGTAACTTGCCCCAAAGCAACTACGACTCAACTCTTCCTCACAATTTTTTGAGTGAAACAAAAAATTATTTGTTGCTTGGAGAGCACCAAGTGAAAACAACTGGACTATAACACCTGAAAACTAGATTATAACCACCTGAAAACAACTGGACTATAACCACCAGAAAACTAGATTATAACCACCTGAAAACAACTGGACTATAATCACCTGAAAACAACTGGATTATAACCACCTGAAAATAACTAGATTATAACCACCTGAAAACAACTAGATTATAACCACCTGAAAACAACTGGAATATAACCACCTGAAAACTAGATTATAACCACCTGAAAACAACTAGATTATAACCACCTGAAAACAACTAGATTATAACCACCTGAAAACAACTGGACTATTACCACCTGAAAACAACTGGACTATTACCACCTGAAAACAACTAGACTATTACCACCTGAAAACAACTAGACTATAGCCACCTGAAACTAACTGGACTATAACCACCTGAAAACAACTTGACTATAACCACCTGAAAACAACTAGACTATAACCACCTGAAAACAAGTAGACTATAAACACCATACCTCTAGACCCAATGAAGTGGGAAAAGGGGGATTAGATTTTCTTTGAAACTAAGGACATCGAGATTTTACCTTTTTTAAATAAGGGGATGGGGGTGGGGGGTTGAGAACTTGTGACACTTTATGACAGGGGGAGGGGTTAAAAAATTGTGACGTCACAATTTTAATTTTTTAAGGTGTGAGTCACGCGATGGGGGGGGGTGAGAATTTGTGACACTTTGTGAGGGGGGGGGGTCTAAAAATATCATTTTTAGCGTGACGTAATTTGCGAACGATCCTTTATATTAACTTCCCTTTTGTTCCTGATTCTTTCTGGGTGGCAACATTTTAATTACCACCTGAAAACAACTGGACTATTACCACCTGAAAACTAGATTATAACCACCTGAAGACAACTGGACTATAACCACCAGAAAACTAGATTATAACCACCTGAAGACAACTGGACTATAACCACCAGAAAACTAGATTATAACCACCTGAAAACAACTAGATTATAACCACCTGAAAACAACTGGACTATTACCACCTGAAAACAACTAGACTATTACCACCTGAAAACTAGATTATAACCACCTGAAGACAACTGGACTATAACCACCAGAAAACTAGATTATAACCACCTGAAAACAACTGGACTATAATCACCTGAAAACAACTAGATTATAACCACCTGAAAACAACTAGATTATAACCACCTGAAAACAACTGGACTATTACCACCTGAAAACAACTGGACTATTACCACCTGAAAACTAGATTATAACCACCTGAAGACAACTGGACTATAACCACCAGAAAACTAGATTATAACCACCTGAAGACAACTGGACTATAACCACCTGAAAACAACTAGATTATAACCACCTGAAAACAACTGGACTATTACCACCTGAAAACAACTGGACTATTACCACCTGAAAACTAGATTATAACCACCTGAAGACAACTGGACTATAACCACCAGAAAACTAGATTATAACCACCTGAAGACAACTGGACTATAACCACCTGAAAACAACTAGATTATAACCACCTGAAAACAACTGGACTATTACCACCTGAAAACAACTGGACTATTACCACCTGAAAACAACTAGACTATTACCACCTGAAAACAACTAGACTATAGCCACCTGAAACTAACTGGACTATAACCACCTGAAAACAACTTGACTATAACCACCTGAAAACAACTAGACTATAACCACCTGAAAACAAGTAGACTATAAACACCATACCTCTAGACCCAATGAAGTGGGAAAAGGGGGATTAGATTTTCTTTGAAACTAAGGACATCGAGATTTTACCTTTTTTAAATAAGGGGATGGGGGTGGGGGGTTGAGAACTTGTGACACTTTATGACAGGGGGAGGGGTTAAAAAATTGTGACGTCACAATTTTAATTTTTTAAGGTGTGAGTCACGCGATGGGGGGGGGTGAGAATTTGTGACACTTTGTGAGGGGGGGGGGGTCTAAAAATATCATTTTTAGCGGGACGTAATTTGCGAACGATCCTTTATATTAACTTCGCTTTTGTTCCTGATTCTTTCTGGGTGGCAACATTTTAGGACGGCCAATTATCCTTGAAAATTATGAAACAACAAAAATCAAATACCACTATATTTCTATGACTCTATGAACTGTGTCAAAAATCATATAAGTTTGTTTTTTTCTATGACTACGACTCTATGTCATTTTACCATGAGCTTTAAGCAATGGCCCATTGTTTGACATTCTCATCAATGTTTTTACTGTTCTCTCTTATGTGAGTAGGCCTATAACAGTTTAACATTATGCCCATAACAGTTTAAGGCTCGCTTCTAAGAATTGTTTGTACGATGTTTCGTTTCCACGAAACTCTTAAGTCCTTACGGACATTTGTGGGTACGTCATTTCAGATAATGTTTTTAAACGTTGTTTGTAAATTTAAAGACAATTGTCTGCCCTGGGGACACCAAATGGAAAATTGACAGAGCTCACTCGGTCCGTTCCATACCATAACTGTGTTAAGTGCCCATTGACAGTGAACCACCAAGACCAAGTGCCTCGAGAACAGGATGCCACAAGAGTAGGGTGCCACCAGAACGTCTATTGCGTTTTAAAATAATATTTCTAAAAAATTAAAAGGCTGTTACGTACGGGAAAATTGTTTTAAGAGATTTTGTTTAGGTACCAGATGTAAGGAATCGTTTTCCGATAATTTAATTCAGCAGGAGGGCAAAAAGTTGGTTTGGATGCATATTTAATGAAGACACCACTATAGGAAATCCATTAATGTTACAGATATCTAAAAATAGTTTTTAAAAGAATTATTTAATTTGACAACGTTTTTTCTTCGTAGTTCAGTAACGTGAATAGTTTTGGGTAATGCCTAGGAGTAATTTAAAAAAAAAAACTAAATGATGTTAGAAACGATAATATGTATAAACAGACATCTCTTTATAGGACTATATAAGGAATTATTAATAAGGAAAGTCTGGTGTATGTTTTCCTAAATATATATTTCAGAGCATGGGAAATGTCACTTTAAAAAAAAAATATTTTGTTAAAAACTACAACTTAACCCTGTTCAGTTACATAAATAATTCTTAGATGTTGAGACTTCGTAACGTAATTTAAAACTCATTTTATTAATAACGTCGCATTAGAGATGGCGGCGGTGGGTCGTCGAGCGCGAGCTCTTAATACCCACCCCGGCACACCCCCATACGGGCCGACGCCTGGTCTCTCTGCCGCCAGACCATGCGGAAGCACGCCGGAGACCTCCCCGTGGCCTGGGGGGGACGTCCGCTCGACTGAAAACGCTGCGTTTAAAGCGGTCGTGGGCCACTCTCCTTGGGTATGAACGGCTTTGCTTCCTCTTCGGGGAAAGGTGTTGCGTTACCTCCCCCCACCGTCCAGGGAGCCATCCGGTCGGGACTTACGCGGGGACGAAACGGTCGCCTAGGAGCGGCTTTCTCGGGGCCGCGTAGCTAAAATCATCGGCCAGGGTTTTGACCGCCACCCAGACCTCATATCCATTAACGGCAACAAGTAATCATGTTATTGCGTTACTCCCGTTGCGTTGGGAGGCATGCAAGTGGCCGGGGTTTTTGGCTTCGGGAGAAGAGACCTCCCTACTAGTCAGGCACGCCACGAAGAGGCAAACCCCATGGGACACCACCAAGTCGCCTCGGTGGTGCTGAACTTCCACCTAGAGGCGTTCAGTCTCCGTCCAACCAGCATTTTATTAATAAAGAAATTTGCTTTAACTCTCAAATATTCTTGGTTTTCGGACATTTTTTTTTCTCCCTCTTTAGGTACCTTTACAAGCTGGCTAGTAGTTCAATGAAGAACATAGCCGTAATAACATGTTATACATCATTGGATTCAAAACCTGTGAGTCACGATCCTCTCAGGGACCTCATAACAAAATGTCAGGGGTTGCTAAATACATTGGGGGGGGGGGCGTTGTTGTGGGTGAAATTTGCATTTTTTCGTATTTGAATGTTCATTTTCAAATTTGAATATTGATCGGATTAGTTTCTTATTATTCCTACGCCCTGATTACACGACAGCTACATAAAATAAAACTATGCTTCATTCCAACTCCGCCATGGCCGTCCCAAGCCAGGGTGCAAAAGGAGGAGGGTTGGCGTGAGACCAGCTACCTCCCACTTAAAAAAACAAACTGCTACAAAAACGCCAACAAGAATTAAAATAAAAAAAAGAAGAAAAAATTTCAGTCCTGATAAGAGACGGCTCTTCTTCCCCGAGAAGAGTTGTGAAGCCTTGTGACCAAACCAGGTTATACTGGAAGCCTCAAAGTCGAGGGCCGTCCTTTCAAAGGCAATAAACAAAGGCTAGTTGAATGTTAGAACCATATCATGCATGAAACAGGAAAATCGGCACAAGTAGCGGCAGATGAACACATGCCTTAGAAAGATCCAGAACATCAAATGGCCAAACACCATCACCAAAACAAAGGCTTACTGGAAATGACATACCAAGAACCTATGGATGAAGACATCATAAGGAAAAGATGGAGGTGGATAGGGCAAACTCTTCGAAAATCCCCAGATAATATCACCAGGTAATACGTAACTTGGAATCCACAGGGAAAAAGAAAGAGAGGACGACCTAAAAAATACATGGGGACGCGAGCTAGAGCCAGACACACAAATTATGGGATACACCTGAAAGCAACTGGAAATGAAAGCCCACGACCGAGATGAATGGCAAGTTCTTGTAGACGGCCTATGCCCCAGACGGTGCAAAAGGCATAAGTAATTAAGTATGAAACGGCCGCACAGCCTACAAAGCAAGGGTCGTGCGAAGGGGGGTCGGTGGTTTAATGGGCATGAATCGTAAATTATCCTAAATTAGCGTAAATAGGCCTGTAACCATAGCGTGGAAGGAGTGGGTGTGGTTATACCTCCGCGGGCCAGGTTTGTGTTTTTTGTTTAAAGGGGAGGGGGGGGGGGGGGATTTTCTGTCAAAAGAAACTAAAAAATGGTAATTAATCAGACGCATAGATCTAGCATAGTTTTATGTTCCTTGATGAAATTTATCAAATTTATTTTGGCCCGTTCCTTTACTTTCGCTATATTTTTAGACCTGCCCCAGGCGCCGCTTTTTTTCGAAATTGGCATGATGATTAACAAAAGTTTTGTTTTGACTTAAAGTATTGGCAACTGACATGCAGTTTCATGTGAACGGGGTTGTGGGTGGGCGATATGTCCAGTAAGGGTTGGGGGGGGGGTCTTTATATTGAAGGTTGGTATTTTTGGCAACTTTACGAGATTTTTTCGTTGAAGGGAGACGGGCAAAAGCTAGACCCAACCCGGGCATGGGGACAAATACCCTAGCTACACCACTTCTTATATAACATTAAGAAATAATCTTTTTTGACGGAGCCCCCAAAATGTCGACTGCCTAGACGCCACACGAGGTCTTATTCCGGCACTGTCTTCATCCATCTTGAGCCTGACAGGTAGTGCAATCTGCTACCTTCTTAATACCATCGTGCATGCATATCTCCGATCTGTTATAGACATTCGCCTTCAGCAAAGCTCCAGCGAGTTACGTAGTCTAAGCCTCGGGGCAGTGGTAAGCAGAGTTCCGGGCATTTTTTCTGGCAATGATTAAACCTAAGCTTTATTGCCCTAAGCTAAGCTATATTGTCCTAAGCTGAGCTATATTGCCCTAAGCTAAGCTATATTGTCCTAAGCTAGGCTATTAGTCCTAAGCTAAGCAATATTGTGCTAAGCTAAGCTATAATGTCCTCAGCTAAGCTATATTGTCCTAAGCTAAGCTACGTTATCCTAAACAAAAGAATAAGAAAAGTTTATAAAAAATGTTTGTGTAAAATTAAAACAACTGTGTTATAATTGGTCACTTTCTTAAAGTTGGTGGCTGTTAATAAAAATTTAAGATTTAAAAAAGGCCAGCTCGAAATCTTCTTATTCATTTATTAATTTCAAGGAGGACTGTACACGCATTTCTTAATTATTTTAAGTATTTAAACCAAAACATCTTGTGAAACTTTTACGGGCATAATGAAAATTTTTAATCGAATGTGAAGATATAAGAAATAATAAGATATGAATATACAACTACAAGATGTCCGTTTGCGTCGAGTGTATTGTTTTTAAACGTTAAAAGAGTTATTTAAGTCAAAACAAGCTATAAACTCTTGTAGTGGTAAATAGATTAACCTTTTAACGATTATCAAAGATAAAACCAGGTACAAGTGTACCAGTTATCGATAAATGCGCTTCAGAAGTAAAGGCATTACAAATCGGGTTGGTTCGATCACAGATATCTGAATTTCAACGTAAGAATGTTTTAGAGCTTTCAGTCATTGCTTATTGTTTTAATTTATGTGGAGTTATGAAAGTCATAGTTGCTTTAGTTAGTCACGGCCACGGTATAGATAAGTAAGTCAGTAAGTAGTTAGGGTGACCAAACTTCCCGTAAAAACTGGATTGTCCCGTTTTTTTCACGATCGTACCCGGTGTCCCGAAAAAGTCTATCAGGACGCCTAAATGTCCCGTTTCTAAAACCAAACACATTTACAAATCACTAAAACTTCCTAATTCATAATATAACTTTTAAGTAATATTTTGACTAGCTGTGTAGCCAGTAGTGATGTGGGCTTGCGCGATTGTTGTATTTAATTTGTTGTGTTGTATTATGTTGTAAAATATGGGGAATCCTCCAAAGTCCGGTCCCAAATTATTTCCAATGATTACTCCTTACTTAAAAGTCTTGAGCATCATTCTGTTTTGAAATTCATGTTTGCGTTAGTGGACGATGTTGGATGGAGGCTGTCGGCCGTCGCGATGCACAAACACGAGAGCATTATTCATTATCACTAATCAGACTAATCAGAATAGTAATCATGTGTTGCCAGGGACAACTATCGTCACTGACACTTGGCGAGGATATCAAAATGTCGCTCAGCTCAACAACAGGATTCATGCTCACACTCGCACTGTCATTGTGCACGCGCCTGAATTTGTTGACCCAGTAGACAGTAGACCAGGACATTCACACTTAAATTATTGAAAGACTTTGGATGCAAGTGAGTGAAACGTAAACTCCGCTATCAGAGTGGTTCTAGTCACGGTCTATTTGCTAGCTACTTGGAGCCTTCAGTGGCGCAACAGTCACAAGCAGAACGTTTTCGGCTGCTATTTGCAAATGGCTATGCGCCAATTACAATATTTAGTATTTACTGACTGGTTTGTAAAGTGACAGTTATTTGCAAAAGCTATGACTAACATTTCTGCTGTTTTCTAACAATACACACTGTGCATTGCAATTTTTTTCATACGAAATAATTTGGGACCGGACTTTCGGAGGATTGCCAAAATATGTATAAATAATAAGCATTCACTTTCACTTTAAAATGATAGTTTTCGTTTATGATATGCCCCAGAGTTTAAATTAAATTTAAAAATTGAAGGTAATTTAAAAAAGATTTCTAGGTCTCAAAATAGTTAAAATGAACATATTTCAACAAACAAGGAGACGAATGAATACTGCTTGAGTTTTCTACTGTGTTCTTTTCTTTGTTGTATTTTCATTTCTATTGTTGGCTGATGAAGGCTTTATGCCGAAACGTCCTTGTTTTTTTTCCTGTTACCTTATTTCAAGCTTCCACATACCTCGTTTCACTATTTCATTCTTTCAACAAACAACAGTTTCCGGTGGAGCCCCTCCCCCCCCCACCAAATCCCTCCTTGGATGTGTCCCGTTTCTAGTTCATGATTTGGTCACCCTAGTATAAGTTTAAGTTTGTCGCCAAACTAACTAAAAGTAGGGCTGTAGGGCTTAGTAGTTTGAATTGAAATCAATAGAAATAAGTTATGTTATAGTAATAATAGTAACACAAACTTGATTGTTCAAAGTCAAGGTACCTAGCAAAGTAGCAAACCTACCGCCTTGTAGGAAGTGGAGAGATCCACAAAGGCTAAGGAACCGTAGCCGAAAATAAAGCAGCTACTTAGAGAACCATTAGGGGCAGCCCCCCAGACAGTTTTGCCCACGCTGGCCATGTAAAAAAAATGATAATAAACATTACGAAATCAAACAACAAAACAAAACTTTGATATCAAGGATTTGTAAACGCAAAGCAACAGTACAATGATTAATACAAAATATTTGCAGTTATTTTTAAAGACCTTTAGCAATATTTACACGCCATGGATTTCACAAATTTTTAGGTTGCAGTTGGCTTTTTTAGAGGTATTGTAAAGTGTCAGAAATTCAGGATGATATTAAAGGTGTTTCCTTTCTGCCCCCCCCCCCCCCTTTTTTTTTTTTCCCCCCCCCTCCCCCCTCTAAAATCCCCAAATTGACATATAAGATAGGATAAGATTCTTTTATTGATCCAAATAAATGGAAAGGTTTTTTTGATTGCATTTTACATTTTCAGCTCAAAAATGTAACAATTTGAACACAAGACATTTATAATAAATTAATTCAAACAGCCATTCAGTGAGTTCTCTTAGCAAAATCGGGGGCTTATTAGTTCTCATTCAGATGTGTGACTTCAGAGGAAGCATGCCGGTAAATTCATACAGATTGGGGAACAAAAGAATTTTTATATCTGTCAGTCCTTGTCTTGATGGAAAGAATTCGTCCCGAACGGCCTGATCCTAAGTATCTGTGATGCAGAGGGTGGGATGTATCATCCAAAATGTGTTTTAGTTTTGCAAAAACATCTTTCTTCAAATAGTTCTTCCAGTAAAGGATGTTTAGTTTGTGTTATGTTGCTAGCTTTCTTGACTAGTTGGTTTATGCGGTGTTTAATATCAGACATTGAATTCCCACACCAGCAGGTAATATTGAAATTAAGCAGGCTTCCATTAGTTGCACTGTAGAATAAGTTAACGACTTGCTTGTTTACACCGAAATTGTACAGTTTTTTGAGGTAGAACAGTCATTGGTTGAATTTCTTATACAGCATTTGGCCGTGCTCATGCCATGTTAGCTTATTATTAATGGTGACACCTAAGTATTTGTATGCCTCCACTTTCTCCACATTTTGATTTTTTATGTTGAGATCTGTAATCTGGTGTTTCCCCCTCCTGAAATCAACAACCATTTCTTTAGTTTTTGAGACATTCAACTGGAGAAAATTTTCATCGCACCAATTGATAAATCTCGTAACTAAGTTTCGGTATATGCCTTCTCCTTCAGATATTAAACCAACAATGGTGGTATCATCAGCAAATTTTAAGATTGGAACAGTGTCGCTTGAGCTTTGAATATCATTTGTATATATGGTACACAGTACAGGAGAGAGAACACAGCCTTGTGGTGCCCCGGTGCTTATTCCTCTAGTTAGAGATAATTGGTTATTTAGTTTGACATATTGTGGTCGATTTGTTAAAAAGTTCAGTATCCAAGCCTGAATATTTAAATTGACACCTAACGAGGAAAGTTTCTTTATCATAAGGTGTGGTTGGATAGTGTTAAATGCTGATGAGAAGTCTAAGAAAAGCACTCTGGCATATGTTTTAGGACTGTCTAGGTGATGGTAAAGTCTCTCCAACAATAGTAAGATTGCGTCCTCCGTACTTCTGGCAGGCTTATAAGCAAATTGGTGGGGGTCAAGTTTTTGCTGTACTTCATTCAAAATTTCTTTCAGAATTATTTTCTCAAAACATTTCATGACAATAGAGGTAAGTGCAACAGGTCGTAAGTCGTTGTTGCACGTTACCTTAATTTTCTTTGGAATTGGTATGATTTCTGAAGTTTTCCAAATTGCTGGTATTGTGTGAGTTACATAAGATTTATTAAATATGTAACAAAAAATGTAGGAGAGCTGCTCTGAACATAGTTTAATGAGCCGACCACTTAATTTGTCTGGTCCCGAGGCTTTAGCTGCGTCCACTTGGTTAAATAATGACATCACTCTCTGTTCGGTGAACAATAAAGTACCATCCTGTGTACTACTGCCATCTTGAAATGAATTCATCATCTCATTTTGCATTCTTCCAAAGTCCAGGCTGTCAAAACGACAATAAAAGTCATTTAAGTTGTTAACAAAATTTCTCACATCCTCAACAAATATGCATCAGTACGCAAAAAATCCAAAATCAATAATATCCTTCCCTCACAGTGCATATGTATTTAATATAGGCACCAAAAACTGCAACCATAGGCACTGTAATAGATGTCCTTGTGGGATTGAAGTTGATAAGATCACTTTTCCTCTGAAATAATCAGAATCAAAAATGGTTTAACTTGCACCAGCTGCAATGTGATTTACACCATCCTTTGTAAAAAGTGTAGAAAATCATTATGTAGGGGAGACAGGTTGTAGTCTTGTAGATGGATTTAGAGAACATCTGTGCAAGATCATTAAACAAGCCCTTTGTTCCATTTCTAAAAATTTCAACAGTGCTAACCATAATGGAATATTGAACATTGTAGGTACTAGTATATTGTATGTGAGTGATACCTGATAGAATTTATATGGAAAACAAATTAAGAAAAATGTTTGGTACGTTGACTCCATACAGTATAAACCAAAGTCAAAATTACTACAAAGGCTGCAATGTCTTTTTCTTGTTTGGTTTTTATATTGTACCTCCATCCACTTTCTTTCTATTCTTCTAATCTTTGTTTTTGTTAAGGACTTGCGCCTATTTCTTTCATTTTTTATGGTTAAGTAGTATATAAAAATACATTATGTAAATTTAATTTAGAAATCTATTCCGTTTCCTGTTATACTGATGAAGGCATTTGCCAAAATGTTCAAATTTATACAGCCTCTAATCATAATCAAAGCTGAAAATATATGGTTTGATTTACACAAATGTATGTGTATCATTAATTTAGATTGAATTGAGGCTTTGTCCCAAACAAAAAAAGTCTAGAACTACTTGCATCTTGTTGTAAAAGTTTGTTTTAAACATATTTATTTCATGTTTACAGCAGTTCTGAAATGGATGAAGAAGATGAAGTAGAGTTTCCATTTGATTTATCAGAGTGGATGGTTCTTGATGATGATGTTGGGGAAGCTGAATCTAGTCCTCTGGAGCACAGTCTAGACAATGAAGGAAATAACACAACAACACAATCTTCTGAAACTGTTCTTAATGAGAGTGTCAAACCTAAAAAACAATCACAACCTGTGACACGTGACAGCAAAGCATCTAGTAAGACTGTTAAAGTCGCTTCTAAAATTGACACAAAAGAGGACAGAAATAAAGACATATTAGACAAGTCCTTGCAATCAACAAAGTTACCCGTCACTTTGAGTAGCAAATCGAACAAAAGTCCTCATGGCTCTACAGAGTTGAAGAATACAACAAATTCTAGTCATGCTTTAACAAATGATACTAAAGCCAAACAAGCAAGCCAGACAACACCAGCTTCTGCCAAAGCTGTCAGCGCTTCTCCCAAAGCTGTCGGCGCTTCTCCCAAAGCTGTCATCGCTTCTCCTAAAGCCGTCAGTGTGTCTGTCAACGCTGTCAGTGCATCTCCTAAAGCTGTCACTGCTGCTCCCAAAGTTGTCACTTCTTCTTCCAAAGCTGTCGGTGCTTCTTCAAAAGTATTTGACTCTAGCTTGAGCGAAACCCCTGGAACACCACTAGTCACAAAATCTGCTGGAGTTGAATCAAAGAGTTCTTTGAGCAAATCTCTAACAGCTTCGACAGTTACATCAAAACAAACGGAGCAGGCGATTGCTCAAAGCGGCTCTAGTAAAACTGAAAATGCTTGTGTTCCAAGTACACCATTGGCCTCAGTTACAACATCGACGGTGAATGTCAATGTGAACCCTTCTGTGTCTACAATCACTACTTCTGTGATGGACAACTTAGCCTCTAACATACATGTAAATCCAGAGGCTGTTGCTGTGATTGCAACGCCGAGTAAGACCAGCAGTCAGCCAGCAAATAGCCAGCCACCAAAGGCAGCTACTACTCCACTCTCTAACCAAGCTAATTTAAAGTCAACCAGCCAGACCCAATCATCTGGCCCGACCAAGTCAACCAGCCAGACCCAATCATCTGGCCAGACCAAGTCAACCAGCCAGACCCAATCATCTGGCCAGACCAAGTCAAACAGCCAGACCCAATTATCTAGCCAAACCAAGTTAACCAGCCAGAATCAATCATCTGGCCAGACCAAGTCAACCAGGCAGACCCAATCATCTGGCCAGACCAAGTCAACCAGCCAGACCCAATCATCTGGCCATACCAAGCCAACCAGCCAGACCCAATCATCTGGCCAGACCAAGTCAACCAGCCAGACCCAATCATCTGGCCAGACCAAGTCAACCAGCCAGACCAAATCATCTGGCCAGACCAAGTCAACCAGCCAGACTCAATCATCTGGCAAGACCCAATCATCTGGCCAGACCCAATCATCAAATTCAATCTCTTCTCAAAAGGTTAAAACAAGTAAACCGGATAGCTCAGAGCTAGAAAATCTGAATGATTCAAGACCAGAGATCAAATCTGCTTCAAAGTCAGAAAATACTGTAACTAAGGAAGCACCAAGCAAGTCAGAATCTGCAATTAGAAGTAAACAAGAAACCACAGACACTTCTCATTCAGTCAGAACCCCTTCTGATAAATCCACAAAAACGCTGTTAAAACCAGCTTTGACACACCCTGCAAACACATCATCCATTTCAAGTGTAAACCCAATAGAGTCAACTCCACAAAATGTAGCCACCGCAGCCATCTCTCTTTCACAGCCATCTGTCAGTAACTCTCAAGAAAAGAGCATTGCCCCAAGTGGCAACACAGAACTCTCCAGTTCTACCATCAGCCAGACTACTGAAATGGTTATCACTCCAGTGGTGACTACCAAGTCATCTTCCAACTTACCTAGTGTAGCCCCTCAGAAAATATCAGCGTCACACCAGCCGCACACTGCACACACACCCAAGCTAAATGTACAAAAGCATGCTAAGGTTGACACTGAGAGCATAGCGGCAGTCATGGAAGCAGTGGACAAGTTCAATGTGGAATCTGGTCGCCAACAGTCCTTTGATTTTGATGGCTCTGATATCTCAGATACTGAGTTAGATGACATCATCAATCTTGAAGTCCAACAAAAGATTGCCGCTGGAGGCAAAAGGGAAAGAACTGAAACTAAATCAGAACCGGCCAAAAAAAGATTAAAAGTTGATGAAGTTGTGGTCTCACCTCATCCAGGAGCTCCTGACATTGTGACAAGACCAGATGCTAAGAAGATGCAGGTGCCTGCTGGTAGTCCAAGCAGTATCAGAAAAGAAAAAACTGAAACTCTGGTCATGGAAAAGGTGAAGCCTGAAAGTAAAACTAAAGTGGAGGTCATGGCATCAACCCCGATGATCACCAACACACCCGGTCCATCTTTGTCAGAGACGCCCTTGAGTCAGGTCCCCACTTCAGCTATGTCCAAGCGTATCATACGCAGATTTCATAGATCAACTCAGACGACCATCAAAGAAACAGAGAATAAGCAGTTGCAGTGCATTATCAGAAGTCGGGGACCAGGAGTTGGGCCCAAAACTACCGTTGAGTTAGGCGTGCAGACAGTTGGGCCAAAGAAACCAGATTGGAGAGATGAAATACGGCATCTTAAACTTGTACCAGACACAGTCAATCTAGAGGTCTTCAAAATCGTTTCTGGTTTTGATATCAATAGAGGTCTGGAAAATATTACTTCAGGTATTTTGACAGTATTTGTAATGTTGACCTTGTTTAAGTCAGCGAGTTAATGTACCATTCACACCATCTTTACTTCCAATTTTTTTTTTTATATTCATGTTCAAATAAACCAAATAATTATGTTCCAATAAAATAATTCAACAGAAATCTTCCACCACTGTTCAGGAAATTAGGTTTTAAATTCAATTTTATGCACTGCTCTGCACCGTGCTTTAGATGTTGTTATTCAACCATTGAAAAGGTTTGCTACATTTTATGCAGTGTTGACATTAGAGGACCTCAAGCCCAAACTTCCATTTAATTGTCCTGTCCTGTCTTTTCAAGCTTAAAAATATCTTGTTCCACTATTTTATTTGACATGAATAACATAAACAAAATATTCTTTTGACAGTAACCTACAAATATGCCATCAGCTTGGGTCACGTGAGTACAACAAATCTTGAGAAGGGTTCATTCAGAGAAAATATCCTCGTCAAGTCAGAGAGCTTCAGTTTTATTTCCTCGGGACAAAGCATTGGGTAAATATTTCATATTTGAGCAAATAGAAATAGAGCCGCTTGACATGTGTAACCTTTGATGGCGTTGTCTAAATACACTTGAACTTTATTTTTTCTTTAACAATTTGGATCAAGATTTGTCAGAGTTTCTTTATCTAAATGGTTAACAGATTTATCATTGTGTATATATGTCAATGGACTTATTTTTATCTAAATATGTAGGATGGATAAACTTTTTTGAGTGATGAAGTGCATCATCAAATGGACTGAAATTAGAACTTGATGTTATTGTCTCAAGAACCATTCTGTAACATTTGGTTTCCTCTTAACACCATTACTAGTATATTTTGATTTTCTTAAGAACCAACAATAAAATATATGTAACATGGTTGTCTCAAGTACCAACAGTACCAGATATACAATGATCACTCGTCTAGGGGGGGGGGGGGGCAGTAAGGTTCCAGAAACCCGCATACTCTTATGTACCTTCCCCACATTGTTATCAAACTTTCCAACACCCTTTTAAACACTTTCAATGCACTAAACACTTTCTACACTCTTAAACCTACGTCTTTGTCTACTCATCTGCTGTACACTGACACTACATATTTTATTTCGATTTAAGATTCTTTTAATATGTTTTCATTACTATTTTTTTAAAATTTTTATATTGTTTTCATTATTTAGACTGAATGCTCATTTTACAGAAAACAAATACCTAAAATAATAAATATCTAAAAATATCTACATACAGCAAAATCCTGTGATGTAGCAACAAATCTGCAATAAAAACTGAAATATAACTGAGATATAAACTGAGTAAAAAATCTGCTATACAGTTAGACCGCAAAAAGTGAACCTGGTATAGATGAGGGATCACTGTATACCAGAGGTGGGCAAACTTTTTGTGTGTAGGGCCACATCGACAAATGTAAAGCTAATGTAAAGCATATATAGTATTTTCAATTTTTACATGTTGATAAAAATGTCTAAATTCATATTTTAGCATTACATGACAAAAGTTTAGGACTGTTTTAAAAAAAAAGAAAATTAGGAAGTTGATCAAAAATGTTAAAACAATCATAAAGGTAGATTATGAAATTCGGTAAAATTTAACAAATTAAGTTAAAAACAAAGTAATTTTTCAAAAATGTCCTAATGCCTTCGAGGGCGACATAATATCGTTTGCTGGGCCGCATGCGGCCCATGGGCTGTACTTTGCACGCCCCTGCTGTATACCATGGTTGTCTGAAGTACAAGCAATACTAGATACATGATGGTTGTCTCAAGTACCAACAATGATATTTATACTATGATTGTCTAAAGTAACAACAGTGCTATATATACACCATGGTTTTCTCAAGTACCAGGAATACATATGAACTATGATATTCTAAAAAACTACCAATATTATATATGTTTTGATTGTTGCAAAAACCAACAATTAACTTTTTTCCCTTCTATACCTAAATGGATATGATTGATTAACAACTAAACCTTTAAAGTGAAACTAAAATTTCTCTATCAGTCAGTGACTGTGGTTGGCTATTTAGTGCCACTGTTCCCAGCTCTAAGTAAATGTGGGGGTCATACAAATATTGGATCTTCCTGTACAGCCAGCCAGTATGAAGCTGCTACCCTAATAAAGTGTAATATGGGGAGTTTGAAGCAATAGTAAATATACCATGCAGTGTAGGGGAAAAGCTAAAAGATAACAAAACTAAACAAAGAACATTTGTTTAGGTAAAAAAAAGTCTTGGACAGCAGACAAAGCTGGACCTTAAGAAAAAACTTAGCTTAAAGAATTTGTAAGTCAAATCAAAGTACCCAGGAAAGCATAGAAAACAAAAAGCATGTTGATTTGGATGTGGAAGTTTTATTGAAATCATGCACTTTGCGTTAGAGATTAATAGGAAATATTCAATGGCTACCATAATGCAGTGAAGACTGCATAGATAAGGTTTTTAAAGATGGAGGATCTGAGTTAGATATCATGGAAAGAAAACAGAAGGTAAGTTGGCTTTTGCTCTACCAAATACTATTGGGAACTCTAGGCAAATAATCAGATAGGTAAATTTAGAATGGTAAGTTATTTTTTGTGAATGGTTCAGAAAGAAATATTAGGTAGCAAAAAATTAATTAAATGAATACAATGCAAGTTTAAATTAATAATAGTTAGAAAGAAGGAAAAGGTACTGCACTGTGATTGGTCATATGCTATAGTGTAGTGAGGTTTCAAGAGAGTTAGCACGTAAAAGAAAACATGACATTTATGACATTAAATGTTAAAGCCCCTTACATATGTATCAATTTGTCTCCAAACTCACTCTGGCTGTCATGGACAATAGCTGTAATTGACTCTTCAGTCTCACCTTTATGGTCACTTCTATTTAAGTTAGATGAGAATGAGAAGGCCCATTGCTTGTCTTGAGCAATGTTATGTAGGTGCTCACTGAACCTATCAACAAGTCACCTTCCTGTCTCTCCCACTTAGTACATAAAGCAGCATTTACTAACCATTGTGTAAACAACATTCTGGCTGATACAAGAGAACCCAGCTCTTATTTGAAATAGACCCTTAAGGAAAGTCAATTTAATTGGTTTGAATTTTGTAAGGACATGTCTTACTGGGGCTATAGCAACATGGCTCAGTTCCAAAAATGGGAGGGATTGGTTTGGACCAAGAAGGTCACATAAATTCCTTTTAACTTTAAAGACTATGAGACTTGGTGATGAGAAAATGTTGTATGCATGCTTGTCAGCTAGCAGAATGGAACAATTTTTTAAAATAGAAAATGTGTTTAGCAAATTATGAGGGTGATATGTGAGGATATGTTTAGTTCTTTCATCATCGGCATGTGGTTTGAATGCCTCAGGTCTGGTTATATTTTTTATCCTTTAAAGGGCAGATGAAAGGACTGTTTCTGGATAACCCTACAAAGGAAAAAAAATTATCAGTTGATTCATTTTTGTCACAAAAGTCTTCATCGGACTGACAAAGTCAGCATTGTCGATGCAGTAGTGTAAGGGAATGGAGTTCCTATATGATTTCGGGTGGGAGGCAGATATAGATGTGGACATAGAACACTTGTTCTGTTATTCTGTTAGAGATATGTGTGTTCTACCACATTTACTGAGTTTATTTAACACAGTCTTGGTGTTTGTCCAAATATTTTACTTGTAATTATTTAGTATTGATCTGTTTAAGATTGATTTGAACTTATTCTGAAATATTACCTGTTCAAATGATTATGTAGACATTATTTTAAAAAGCATTCAAATGATCTGCTGCGTTGGTGTGGCAGGTGATGACAAAAGCATGTAGTTTTTGGGTTAATCAGAATGGTACACATGTAGAGACCGCTTCATGCAGGAATGTACAAAGGCTGACGTTCTCATCACTTCTTTACAGTGTGGTCAATCTTTTTTTTACGGATAAAGAAGGACTTGTTGGTATGATGACTCAGATACGGAAACTAAGAATAGGTCAGCGCTACTTGGTGGTCACTGTGTCAGCATCACTAGATGAAAGTGAGAGAGATCCTGCTTGTCCCTTGTCTGTTGTTAAAGGTAAGCCAGTAGTTTTTAAACACTTAGATGGAATTTGGGAAAATGGGCTGTAGTTTTTTAAACTCTTGGGTGGACTTTGGTAAAAGGGCCAGTAGTTTTTAAACTCTTGGCCGGGGTTTGGGAAAATGGGGTGGTTATGTCTCAATGATGAGGTAAACTTTTTTTTTTATAGTTTTCTAACTGTCTATAATGTATTTACTGCTCAGTACTTACTGCTCAGTCACTGTTCTATGTAAATATCAATATTCCATTTTTATTTTGACTTTTTAGCCACTGTTGTGTTTGACCAGAATTTCTCTTCCACTGGATTCCTCAAGTACGCTAAAGGTAAGCCCTTAGAATAACTTCAGTGGAAATTATAGGTACATTTTTGTATATAACATGGCAGTTTTGCTCTATTTAAGGTCCAGGCAGAGCAAGATACAAAATGTGCTTAGAAGGTTAGTGTTGTCTGCTGGTTGGCGGCTGTTGTATGACCAGTGTCAGATCAACCTTTATATCTGGAGGAAGTCACCACTTCAACAAGTGCTGAAAGATGGAGATTTATGATGACATCAGCAAGATACTCGACTGTGAAATTGTATGAAATATTGTGTAATGATGGCCTCGTGAACAGAACAGCTGCCAACATGATGGTACCATGACAAGAGCTAATGCCATTCAATAGCCCACCTGTTATCGGAGAATCCATTGTCCTGCTGTTTGATGGTTTCAAGAAAATATATTTCTCTTATGTACATCTCAATAAATTAAAGTTTTAGACATGACATTGGTGATAAGGTGAATATGACAAATAAAGGTATTGATCTAAAAAATCCTAGTGTGTGACAGTCCATGAAGAATCAGAACAGATAAAGTAAAGAATGTTCAACTTGAACTCACAAACAAGAATATCTGGTTGAATCTGCACTGAACTATGTACTGCATTCCACCATCATTTGGATGACACCATCACTTGCCTGAATGATATGGGCATATCACACTTGTGTAGGACTCCATCACTTTCCTGTACGATGCGGGACTCCATCACTTGTCTGTAAGATGTGGGACTCTATCACTTGCCTGTAAGGTGTTTGACTCTGTCACTTGCCTGTAAGATGTGGGACTCCATCACTTGTCTGTCGGATGCAGGACTCCGTCACTTGCCTGTAAGATGTGGGACTCCATCACTTTCCTGTACGATGTGGGACTCCATTACTTGCCTGTAAGATGTGGGACTCCATCACTTGCCTGTCAGATGCAGGACTCCCATCTCTTGACTGTAAGATGCAGGGCTCCCATCACTTGACTGTAAGATGCGGGACTCCCATCACTTGACTGTAAGATGTGGACTCCCATCACTTGACTGTAATATGCGGGACTCCATCACTTGACTGTAAGATGTGGGACTCCATCACTTGACTGTAAGATGTGGACTCCCAACACTTCACTGTAAGATGCGGGACTCCCATCACTTGACTGTAAGATGCGGGACTCCCATCACTTGACTGAAAGATGTGGGACTCCATCACTTGTCTGTAAGATGAAGGACTCCATCACTTTTCTATAAGATGTGGACATGGGTCACTTGTTCTGTTAGAGATATGGATGTTCTACCATATTTACTGAGTTTATTTAACACAGTCTTGGTGTTTGTCCAAATATTTTGCTTGTAATTATCTAGTATTGATCTCTTTAAGATTGATTTGAACTTATCCTCTGTCCAACTGAGTTACAGTTATGATGATGTAGACATTACTAACTTGTCTCACAGTAATAGATTTATGAAAATGTTTATCAAAATTTTAAGTCTCCTCACAGCATTGATGTTTTAATCAAACAAAAGTTTAGTTTATCTGTTGCTGACATTTAGCAGGCTTGGGAAGTCAATGACATCAAGAAGCCAAGTCAATGATATCAAGAAGCCACTATGAGATTGTTGGACTTGATCAAGACACCTCAGAGAGATGGTTGGACTTGATCAAGACACCTCAGAGAGATGGTTTGACTTGATCAAGACACCTCAGAGAGATGGTTTGACTTGATCAAGACACCTCAGAGAGATGGTTTGACTTGATCAAGACACCTCAGAGAGAGGGTTTGACTTGATCAAGACACCTCAGAGAGATGGTTTGACTTGATCAAGACACCTCAGAGAGATTGCTTGACCTAACCAAGAAACATGCTGATCATGCAGAGTGCCATAGTATCTATAAAACATTCCAATTGTTTTATTCTCAGAGATTTTGGTATGAAACATTTGACCTTGACCTGCATGTCAATGTGTAAATGGCAGGTTGGATTAAGTTTAGCTTCCTATTCTGTGATAGTGTACAACATTTGGTCTACAGGTCTTCATTGCTGTTTAGTGTGCAAAATTTGGTCTACAGATCTTCATTGCTGTCTAGTGTACAACATTTGGTCTACAGATCTTCATTGCTGTCTCGAGTACAACATTTGGTCTACAGGTCTTCATTGCTGTCTAGTGTACAACATTTAGTCTACAGGTCTTCATTGCTGTCTAGTGTACAACATTTGGTCTACAGGTCTTCATTGCTGTTTAGAGTACAACATTTGGTCTACAGATCTTCATTGCTGTCAAGAGTACAAAATTTGGTCTACAGATCTTCATTGATGTAATTTCATGTCCATGGGAAATAAGTGTCATCCTGACATCAGCAAGTTTTTTTAAAAAGACGAAATATGACAAGAGCACTATCTACGTGGAGCTTATTTCATAGCCTACAACCACAGCTCCTTTATTCACAGCTACCGTCTATACCTCTAGGAGATGACAACAGCTAAATTGTAATGAAGATATATTTATCATACAGAGCAGAAGACGACAGCTAAGTATAATACAGATATACTTGCCATACAGAACAGAAGATGAAGTGTTACAATAAAGTACATGAGAAGAAAACATTGATGAATTTGCTGAATTGCAAGCTTTCTTTTAAAGGAGTTAAAGAACATACAATATTTGTGTACAATAATCTCATTTTTTATTTAGCTCATCTTGTCAACATCCATAACTTGACAACAAAACAAGCTCAAGCCAACTTTCCTCAAGCCGCATGTCCTCAAGCCACATGTCCTCAAGCCACATGTCCTCAAGCCACATGTCCTCAAGTCACATGTCCTCAAGCCACATGTCCTCAAGCCACATGTCCTCAAGCCACATGTCCTCAAGCCACATGTCCTCAAGCCACATGTCCTCAAGCCACATGTCCTCAAGCCACATGTCCTCAAGTCACAAGTCCTCAAGCTACATGTCTATAGCTTTATGTATTTTACACATCTCAAGTGTATTATAAAACAGATTGTGTAAAGGAATTTTTTTTTTTTTTGGTTATCGCTTGCTAGACCTATTTTGAGTGTCATATTTCAAGATGGCATCCTATTGTTAATCAGTCAACTGTATGTGGTCATTGTTCAGGTCCTTGGATCAGGGGCTTTCAGGCAAACATGAGGACAGTAGATAGTAAATATTTAGTACCATTGGTTATTTATGATAACCTTGCATTCTCATGACCTTCTGTTTGATCAAGGTCAGTCAGTGCAAAATTATTGTCAGACCAGTCAATATTCTGACCTTCTGTTTGATCAAGGTCAGTCAGTGCAAAACCATTGTCATGACCAGTCAATGTTCTGACCTTCTGTTTGATCAAGATCAGTCAGTGCAAAATTATTGTCATGACCAGTCAATGTTATGACCTTCTGTTTGATCAAGATCAGCGCAAACCAGTTTTATGACTTGGTGTTTGTTCAAGGTCAGTGTCAGTCAATGCCATGACCTGATGATTGATCAAGATTAGTGCAAAACAATGCCATGACCTTCTGTTTTATCAAGCTAAGGGCAAAAAGAGTGTCATGAACTTCTGATTGATCAAGGTCAGTGCAAAGCAATATCATGACCTTCTAATTGAGCAGTTCAGTTTCAGTCAATGTTTTACCTTCTGTTTGATCAATATCAATGCAAAACCAATGTCGTGACCTTCTTTTTTTATCAAGCTCAGTGCAAAACAGTTTCATGACCTTCTGTTTGATCAAGATCAGTGCAAAGCCATGACCTTTTGTTTGATCAAAGTCAGTGCAGGCAATTATCATGACCTTTCTGATTGGTCAAGGTCAGTGTTAGTCAATGACATGACCTTCTGTTTTATCAAATCAATGCAAAACCAATGTTGTGACCTTCTTTTTTATCAAGGTCAGTGCAAAACAGAGTCATGACCTTCTTGTTAATCAAGGTCTGGGCAAAACAATGCCATGACCTTTTTTATCAAGGTCAGTGCAAACTATTGTGATGAAGTTCAGTCTGATCGATCTTAGTGCAAACATTGTCATGACATTTAGTTGGATCATTGTCAGTGTTGACATATTCAAGACCTTTATTTAGTTAATGGTCATAGATATCAACAATAAAACCTAACTAGTACTTATGAGTGCTGACTACAAGGGAAAGAGAAGAAGGCAATGATAAAGTTACTAGGACACATAAGTTCAGAAACTGTGAGCAACAAAGTTCAGCAAAAATTACTCAATTTTATATTCTCATGGTTTTGAATTAAGCTCTTTACATTTGGTCAACATATGATTTTTCAACTGCCTGATATTGATATCTCCAGAATTCTGTAACATTGCTTGGATCATCTGAGAACACAGTAGGTCCCAGTGTTGCTTGATCTGAAAACAGTAGGTCCCAGTGTTGCTTAATCTGAAACAGTAGGTTCCAATGCTGATTGATCAGAACACAGTAGGGATCAATTTTGCAATGATCTTCTTAGAACATAATAGGGTACAACATTGCTTGGATCTTCTCAGAACACAGTAGGGGCCAATGTTGCTAGGATCTTCTCAGAACACAATATGAAAATGAAAATACTTTGCTTGGATCTTCTCAGAACACAGTAGGGGCCAATGTTGGCTGGATCTTCTCAATACAGTATGAACCAATGTTGCTTGGAGTCTCTTTCTAATTTACTCTTCAAAGATGAAGGAGAAATATCAAAATTTTGCAGCTGTATTGGGTTTCCACTCTGCTGAGCCACTGGCACAGCCGAGCATAGGAAATCTTGCCGTGTCCCCTGTGGCATATCTTCACTATAATCTTTTCAGTACCAGCCTGGAACAAACCTAGAGTGGAAGTAGTTGCTACCATTCATAACGTACCTGGTGGAATACCTTTGGATTTTCTCAAGATTGTGATCCCAGATGCTGTTAGCTTGGAGCTGGATGATAAAAACTGCAAGTTTACCCAAGAGGGCAGGTACGTTGATATTAACTTCTATTTGGCTGTCTTACCTAACTTAAGTTACCATTAATTCATATTTTGTTTGGGTTGTTATTTTCTTACGGAAGGGAGGGTGGGTTTCTGATTCTATCTGGCTACAGATCTGAATGTGGGCTGATCAATTTGGCTTCCACTAAATGAATAGGACATATTTAGCACACATAGTTTCTGTGAGGTCACATGGTTTCTGTGTGGTCACATTGTATCATTGTGGTCTTGTGGTTTCTGTGTGGTCACATGGTATCTTCCTATCCATCATACATGACCTTCAATGCACCGATGACTTCAGTTATCATCCGGTGCACATAGAGAATTTTGGATCAGTGAGATGTTGTTGAATTCTTAACGAGTCCATATTGAAAGGGATTAGATAATGGTGATAGAGATGTGGAAAACATGCAGATGAGTTTTTAAAATTACAAAGTGGAAAACCTAGGACTGCAAGTGATCATCTTGCTCAAGCTTACGCCCAATATTGATGGGAAGTAACCACACTGTTAAAATTATCGATTTCTAAGAAGATTTTTGGTGTTCTTCAATTCTGCGCAGTTTGTGTCTGATGTTTACAGTACATGCTGTCTGATGAAATGAAAGATCAGATGTTACACGCTGTCTGATGAAATGAAAGTTGGGATGTTTACAGTACATGCTGTCTGATGAAATGAAAGCTGAGAAGTTTACAGAACATGCAGTCTGATGAAATGAAAGCTGAGAAGTTTACAGTACATGAAAGCTGAGAAGTTTACAGTACATGCTGTCTGATAAAATGAAAGCTGAGATGTTTACAGTACATTGTCTGGTGAAATGAAAGCTGAGATGTTTACAGTACATTTTGTCTGATGAAAAGAAAGCTGAGATGTTTACAGTACATTTTGTCTGATCAAATGAAAGCTGAGATGTTTACAGTACATTTTGTCTGATGACATGAAAGCTGAGATGTTTACAGTACATTTTGTCTGATGAAATGAAAGCTGAGAAGTTTACAGTACATGCTGTCTGATGAAATGAAAGCTGAGAAGTTTACAGTACATGCTGTCTGATGAAATGAAAGCTGAGAAGTTTACAGTACATGCAGTCTGATGAAATGAAAGCTGAGAAGTTTATAGTACATGCTGTCTGATGAAATGAAAGCTGAGAAGTTTACAGTACATGCTGTCTGATGAAATGAAAGCTGGGATGGTTACAGTACATGCTGTCTGATGAAGTGAAAGCTGGGATGGTTACAGTACATGCTGTCTGATGAAATGAAAGCTGAGAAGTTTACAGTACATGCTGTCTGATGAAATGAAAGCTGGGATGGTTACAGTACATGCTGTCTGATGAAATGAAAGCTGAGATGGTTACAGTACATGCTGTCTGATGAAATGAAAGCTGGGATGGTTACACTACATGCTGTCTGATGAAATGAAAGCTGGGATGGTTACAGTACATGCAGTATGATGAAATGAAAGCTGGGATGGTTACAGTACATGCTGTCTGATGAAATGAAAGCTGGGATGGTTACACTACATGCTGTCTGATGAAATGAAAGCTGAGATGGTTACAGTACATGCTGTCTGATGAAATGAAAGCTGGGATGGTTACAGTACATGCTGTCTGATGAAATGAAAGCTGGGATGGTTACAGTACATGCAGTCTGATGAAATGAAAACTACAAGATTTTTCTTTTCTTGTGAACTTCTGAATATTAAAAAAACGCAGGGGATGATTTTTTAGTTATGATCATTATAGTTGATGAAACTTGGGTCCTTCTTTAAAAGGTAGAGATCTGAAGGAAGTCCTTAGACAAGGGCCATGAGACAACCAACCTCCAACAAAACTCAAGAAAAACTCAGGCCTTCCATTCACTGTTGTTTTCTTAACACTTGATAATGGAACATTTTAATTGAAATTCAATATACTCAAACTATCACAGCATAAAGAAGAAGAATCAAATGTGTTGTAAGAAGAACTTAAAAAATTCAACATTACAGTGTGAGGCCTCACCCAAGTGCAGCAATATGTGATACTTCATATTTCATGACATATCAATGCCTGGACTTGTCAATGCCTGGACTTGTCATGGCCTGGACTTGTCATGGCCTGGACTTTTCATTGCTTGTACTTATCAATGCCAGGACTAATCATCAACTGGACTTTTCATTGCTTGGGCTTATCAATGTCTGTGTTTTTCAACACCTGGAACTCTCATCACCTGAACTTTCAGCACCTTTAGGTATGTTGCATAAACATTCATCACTATGATTTTCAATGCCTGGACTTTTCATCACCTTCTCATCATCCCTGGGCTTTTGTCAGCTCCGACATCCACCTTTTCAAAACATTCTACACATGATTTCAAGGCCAAAGGAACACTTTAAATTGCCAGTGTTTGAGCTGCGATGACGTTGTGCAGTTTGTAGTCAGAATATGGTTTCATAGACGAAATCTCAATTATTTATGGATAGATATAAAAATTGTTCAATGTTGACATAAGTGCTTTTTCACAAAGAACTCTTTTTGTTTTGGGGGGGGGGGGGGGGGGGGGGGAGACTTTTATTTTTTATGTGGAGACAAAACTTATCAGCCCCCACACAACAATAGGGTTACATTGCTACCTGGGATTGAACATATGGTTGGATGGTGCTTTTAGTATATAAATTTAGAGTACACAAATTCAAGTTACCTGGGGTTGAAGATGGGCCTCAATGGTCATTTCTTTTTTTGTGCAAAACATTTGATATAACTGCCAGGGTTTGGAGATGTGATGGAATGGTGATCTGATGGTGATGGAATGGTGATCTGATGAACCATCTCTACTTCATCCCAGCTGGAAACATTTTAATTCAATAAAGTGCTTCCTATAAAAATCCATTAAAAGATTTGTGAAATTTGAAGTTGTGAGCGTCAAGAAAGCAGTTTTGTTTTGGTATAACTTGGTTAATGCACCAGTGACAGGAGAACTCAAGCTTATCATTTCTAATGATAAAGTCAATCAGTGGATGGGTAATAAGTCACTGGCTGGTTTGTTTTTATAATGCGTCGAACTACTTAAATAATCTGACGGACGATGTCAATGCTGAGCCTGGTAATACAGTTGTTATAAAAGGTAGTGCTGGACACAATGAAATGATGGAATCTGTGCCACACAGCTAGTGGGTCAACTATGAAGTGGAGTGGTGTCGGCTGTACGAGAACTTGCCTGACACTCGTTTCTACTAGATCTTGTGATGCTTCAACTTTTACAACTTTCTTATTTTGTCATGTGGAGAGCATAAAGCTATGCTAAGATTAGAGATCTTCTTAAGATCAAATACTTTACATTGGTAAACATACAAACAAAACTGTAGGATGAATCAAATTTCAGTCGAGTGCCATACATCCCACTATTTATGTTATATGTGATATTTACCTAAATATGGTGTAGTCTTGAAATTTAGGTTTTTATGTTTGACTTAAATTAAATAGATTGTTGTAGTTGATTTGAATTAAGAAACTTTGCATTGCTTCCTGAAACTCAAGTGACAGAAGACATCATTGACTTTGGTTCAAATAATAACAGACATTGATTGAATTTGCTACCGGTACCTCTAGCTTAAGTAAAGAATGTATTGATGGCATTTACTTTAAGTAGCTCAAATGTTGACCTCCAGTTAGACTGACGTGACCAAAGATTTTAACACTGTATGCAGAGGATAGCTGGATATGGATGTTTCTATTCATTATGCAGCAATTCCAAGCTACTCCTGGTTAGAGTTTGTGACAGCGGAGATATCTGTACGAGTCCAAGCCGATCCAGGTTAGAGTTTGTGACAGCAGAGACATCTGTACAAGACCAAGCTAATCCAGGTTAGACTTTGTGACAGCGGAGACATCTGTACAAGACCAAGCTAATCCAGGTTAGACTTTGTGACAGCGGAGACATCTGTACAAGACCAAGCTACTCCAGGTTAGACTTTGTGACAGCGGAGACATCTGTACAAGTCCAAGCTACTCCAGGTTAGACTTTGTGACAGCGGAGACATATGTACAAGACCAAGCTAATCCAGGTTAGAGTTTGTGACAGCGGAGACATCTGTACAAGACCAAGCTAATCCAGGTTAGACTTTGTGACAGCGGAGACATCTGTACAAGTCCAAGCTACTCCAGGTTAGAGTTTGTGACAGCGGAGACATCTGTACAAGACCAAGCTACTCCAGGTTAGACTTTGTGACAGCGGAGACATCTGTACAAGTCCAAGCTAATCCAGGTTAGACTTTGTGACAGCGGAGACATCTGTACAAGTCCAAGCTAATCCAGGTTAGACTTTGTGACAGCGGAGACATCTGTACAAGTCCAAGCTACTCCAGGTTAGACTTTGTGACAGCGGAGACATCTGAACAATTGCCCGTAACAAACAGCATCAAGCAATGTTGTGTCCTTCATTATTCAGCCTCATGTTTTTTGCCATGGTGCCTAATTACTAATACTTTCAGAGAAGGAGACATTGGAATTGACATCAGATAACAAACTGATGGTTACCTGTGTAAGCTCAAGATGCTGCATGCAAAATGCAAGGGTATGACTAACGTCAAGACCTCCTGATGTCAAAGACTGTGTTTAGTGTTGGATCTGTAGCTGATGTGCAACACTTCTGAACATTTATTCTCAACCTGCACAGGCTATGACTCCTTAAGAATACTCCTTAAGAATAATGTCCTATATCATCCAACTCCTGAAAGTATAAGGCCCTGTATCATCCAACTCCTGGAAGTATAAGGTCCTGCATCATCCAGCTCCTGGAGAGTCATATGTGGAGTCTAGCTTCATTGTCAGTGGCCAGATACTCAAATTGATAAACAGGACTCTGTCACAAAGCATCACCATTGACAACAACGAGTTGAACTTCTACATTCCCAGACTGTCCAACAATGTGTGAGCCAGGAAAGGCATCTTCATCTAGACTAAACTAATGTCGAAAAAAAATCAGTTGACCCCCCTAAACTATGGTATGCTTGTGAAATGTGGATACTCTACCCATGTCGTACACAGATGTTGAGCCACTCTCACTCCACTCTTATGAATAGAAACATTGGTTGACTTTGTGTCAGGTAACTCCAATATTATGTGCTATCCTATAAGAATATAGAAATAAGCTCTGACAATAATTGCTAACACATGTTTTCTCCTCCCTTTAGACGCCTTCTGGTTGGTTTTAATGGTAAGAATGGAAGTGACCGTGTCTTCAAACTCTTGAGTCAGATTTATCTCAACAATGAATATGTCATCCACACCAATACCACTACATTCGCTGACAGGATCCCTGAAGTCAAAGGTCAGTCAAAGTTTGAGTACTGTGCGTGATTGTAAGATGGTTTGGTTGCTGTGGGTTGTTCCACATGTGGAATGCTGTAAGACTGGTTGCTTTGGGTGGCTGTAAGATTGTTTGGTTGCTGTGGGTGGGTCCACATGTGGAATGCTGTAAGACTGGTTGCTTTGAGTGGCTGTAAGATTGTTTGGTTGCTATAGGTGGGACCATATGTGGGTGGCTGTTAAATTGTTTGGTTTCTGCGGGTGGGTGTAAGATTGATTAGTTTTTGTGGGTGGGTTCACATGTGGGTGGCTTTGAGATTGTGTGGTTGCTGTGGGTGGGTCCGCATGTGGGTGGCTGTAAAACAGTTTGGCTGCTGTGGGTGAGTCCACATGTGGGTGGCTGTAAGATCAAAGTTTGATTGCCTTTGCGCAAAAAATATTTTGATTGAGATTTGTTGATTCAAAATGCAGCTTGACATCTGGTCCCCATTTGTTAGGCACTGCTATCTATATGGAGAAATTAATATCTTATTTAATGAAATCGCCCTAAAACAGTGCATAAAAAAGACAATACCAAATGATAAAAACAATAGCAGAGAAATACGATACTCGAAACAGGGCAAATTACAATCAATAAGTTTTATTAAGTTAATACTAAAGTAAAAAGTAAAAAAGAAATATAATTAAAAATCATTAACTTACAGAGTACTGTTTTGCTTGAACCAGTGCACAGTTGATGATAATACAATGTGTCAAAAAGGTTTAACGATGAATAGGGTTTCACACATATAAGTAAACACAGCTCTATCAAGAATAACATACTCTAAAAATAACTCTTGTCTGTCGTCCCGTAAAGTAAAATATCTAGTGATTAATGAATGCTCTCCCAAAAATCTATCATGTCCGCTTTTTATAGTTTGTTCTACTGATGCATCTAGAACTGCCTTACGCATTGTTTTCCTTTCCAGTTTACTCTAGATTCTTCGACGAAATTCTAATAGAACAGACTATTAATTTCATTTAGGTCAAGAGACTATTTTTAGCTAGCCGCACCTTAAATGCGGATTTGAGCTTGCTTGTTGTCTGCTGGAGATCACAGCATGGGGAAGTACGACGTAATCACGTCGTCTACATAACACCATCAAAGAACTTAAACAAAACCAAGGAAACTAATGTTACAACAACTTTTGACAAGAACTTTTCAAGTTGTGTTACAATTTATTTAAATAACTAATAAGTCATTTCTTTATCATGTATGGCATTTCAAGGATAGCTAAAAGCTATTGTGGTTCTGAAACTTTTAGAAGTTTTACGATGCAGTGTGATAACAAATTAGTGAGGAGAGTTAATATAACCCCCCAAAAAAGGAGGGGGGGGGGAGGGTTCAAATTTTATTACCCATTTACATTGAGATAAAATGTAAATATTGTAGAGTTACAAGAAGCAAGAAAAAAGTGGCAGACGGAGACTGACCTCTTGTTCCCAGCTAGCAATGTCAAGGACAAGGAAATAACTGCCCAGGCCAGGGACATAAATGTTGGAAAGAATAATGTAAGTGTGATTGATAAGTCATTACTCTTGTTAATAAAACCCCAGAACTGTCATTATCACCTGTCATCATGATATAGTTCATGCCTCAACTATCAATCATCATATTGTTACGCACTGACTTGTATTGGGAGAAATTAATCTCCTATTTTAATTTTAATTTGGCTCGATGTAAACAGTGCCTAACAAAGGACGATACCATAGAATCAACAATTATTAAAGATACGACCCAAAAATACAAAATAAAATAAAATAAAATTACAATCTTCAACTTACAGTATGGCAGATGTCGTACCGGTACACACTTAATACAATTAGAAATAATGATGCCAATAAATAATGCGGAATAAACACATATAAGTAGGAGCACACAAACACGCCTCGTAATGTTAAGAAAATCTATGTGAAAAATCTCCGTCCCCTCGTGCCTGTCAATCTCTTATATATATATGTAGAGTAAGATGCTTCGAGAAGGGCTTATGACGTGTTGTTTACATCTCTCGGGTTAAGGAGTATATTCCAGAAATTACCCGAAAACAATCTACCCAATGCGTAATTGGAAGCCGACTGTAAACAAGCCACTTCAAAGACCTAAGCCACACCCCTTTGTGAACACAGCGTCTCATGCGGGGTCAATCAGAGGGCACGCACGAGAAAAACAAGCTCTCTATAACAATATATAATTCTCACTTGAACTGACTTTTTCTTTTTACATTTCAACCTCCACCTTGCAATAGGATTTCTATGCTTGTTTGAAAACTGTATCTCTTTTATTGTGCTTTATTTGGTCCATCCCATGTTTGCATGACTTGTACACATGGTTTTGTAGTTTTCTGTAAGTTTAGTAGCTCTATGGCATCACTTATTGGATTGGATGACTTGTTCTTTCAATAAATGAAAGATAAGAAACTTGAACTCATAAACGGGGTAAACGATTTTGACGTTTTTGTTGCTGGAATTAGGATTACAGGATTCCGGCCACAAAAATGAAATCTCTTAGGTTTTTTGATAGTGAACTGATACTTGTTTTACTTCTTTTTGTCTTGTTTTCTGATGAAGGCTCTAAGCCGAAACGTCAAAATCTTTTGTCCAGTTCATGAATGCAAGTTTAGCTTACCTTGTTCTTATATTTCATTTACACAACTTGAATGCAGTTTATCAATTATATTCTTTCAATAAGTCGAGTGCTTTTTTTCTGTAATGTCAAAGATTTGTTTGCTATGTAGTATTATTATATTGCTTCACAAGAGACACATATTTTATTTTTGCTAGTCTGAGTTTATATTTGTGTTTGAAATACCTTATAATATGTTTTGAATGTCAAATAGGACGTATCAGAGAGGGATACTGTGGTGATTATGGAATCAGATCATGTTGAACAGGAGATGTCACTTTCAGGTAAATCATGTGGATGTCATGGACATGACCTTTAGTTAGATGACACTGGTTAAATGATAACAGATTAGCACTCTGCCTTATACTTAAATAACACGCTTATTCAAATGAGTCAGAAGTTATGAAGATGTTTGTCAAGAGAAACGTGAATCTGTTTATTAGTCTTATACAGTTGTATCAATAATTCGAGACCCAAGCCTTGTACATTATTAATCTACACATCATTGCCAATAAATTGAACTAACAAGCGTGCTCAGATGAATGTAGGATCAAAGTGTTCAAACATTTTTAAAAAGTTATTAATATGCACCATAGAACAACAACATTTAATATGTCTTTTACCCAAAACTATTTTTTTAATGTTGAGTTCCTCTTGATTTATTTTAGAATTACCAAATGAGAACACATCCGTGACTGTTGGTCAGTTTGACAGTGGCATAGACACAAATGTGATGGAGGCCCTGTCAGACATATCAGAGACGTCCAACTTAGGGAATGAAAGCCCTGACAAAAAGGTCAAACTTCATGAGATAGCAAGTCTTAAAGCCACCCTCAGGACGATGGCAAAAAACAAACCACGCAAGACGGAGCCACAAGCCCACAAGCCGGGGATCAAGAAAACTGGACAAGAGAAATACAAGGTCAAGAAGACAAGTGAAAGTCAGAAGCATGAGAAGAAAAGTTCCAGGATGGAAGGGCAGAGTTTAAGAAGCAGGTAAAGGATATTAGTTTATACAGGGGAAACCATAAATAGGTAACTCAATCTGAGCAAAAACCACTGTGGACTCATAAATAGGTAACTCAAACTTAGCAAAAACTACTGTGGACTCATAAATAGGTAACCCAAACTGAGCAAAAACTACTTGAAACCATACATAGTAACTCAAACTGAGAAAAAACTACTGTGAAACCATAAATAGGTAACTCAAACTGAGCAAAAACTCTACTTTTGTTTCATTGTTTTCTACAAGATATTTTAATCCCCACCCATTTGTGCTACATGAATTAATTTTGTATGTGACTCGATTTAAAACTTATATCATGCAAATGTTGTTTACACTTTGGTTGGGGGGGGAGGGGGGGGGGGGATATATCCTTTTTTTAGGGTTTTTAAAAAAAAAAAAAAAAAAATCTTTGC